GAAGTATAGAGTTCAATACGGAGTAAATGAGGTTAAAATTGAGTGCATGGAACAGTTCTGTGGGGCGATTTTTTATCGTTTTGCACATGCTATAATCATAAATCACTTTGGCGTTTGGGGTAATGAAGACCACGCCGATTCTTGCTAACCTGGATGACGTTAATGTGTATCGTCTACAGCGACGTGAAAATAGGAGTAAAACGTGGATGTTTAAATACAAATGAAAACAAAAAAATAAAATAGAAAGACAACCACATAAAACGAAAACTTATAAATATACACGTCGTGATTATTTATGATATAAATGTTAAAACCGTCAGTTTCTCGCATATGCATTTAAGTGTTTAAAATAAAGCTATTCATGATTTAATTATAGTAATAATTAGACCTGTAAAACGAACTGAATAATTCACCGTAATTTATTAGTTGCGTCATGCTTTCACTGATTTATGCTGTGTCAAGCTCTGACTATAAATAATTGCGTAACTGTGTGATTGAACAAGCTATTGAAAAGGTAGTAATTTTTTTTTAATTATTTAAATTATTGGTGACAAAATGCTAACAGTATCTAACGTAGTATCTCACAGTAAACATTACGTCGTTTAGAATTCATCAAAGCTCAAGTAACACTTTTATCCTTAAAAATCGATTAAAAAATTAAATGCACTCTCATGAAAAAGAATAGAATAGAATCTATAATGTAGAAATCAGTTTATATTTTCTGAAATACTTTACTTACTTTCAGAATCTCAATTTTTTTAAAAGCCTTTATGATTTCCTTAGTAACAAATTTCATACTGACGGATAAACTCGACGGTACGTTATAAAAAAGGCCTAAACAGCTCGAAAAACATCCTTCAAAAATCCCTACACCATACTTTTGAAAATATTAAACATCAAAGTCCAATTAACTTCGTAGTTTTGATTTGTTTTAGTTGAACTGCATGTCTAAACTACAGTTAAATAATTAGTTATTAATAATTTAATAATAATAATTTGCTATAATACGATCCACAACGCCATTTTTTACTGTTGACAATTTTTATCGGAATTTTAGACTGTCAATTAAATTCACATTAAAACATATCAGAAGTTAGTTCTTTAATTTTTAAGTAATTTATAAATATTTTCAGAAATTTGGTTCAGGGAATTCTTCCTTCGAGTTTTCAGAGCCTTCTTAACAACGTACCATCAAGTTCATCGATTCTTTTTTGATCACCCTGTATAGTGATTTGAAATTATACTGTCGGTCACTAGTGGAGGAATTGTTATCGATCGATTTTATTCTGATCAAAGTGTAATTTCATACTTTCTTATATTTTCATAGCTCATAGAATGACAAAATCAAGAGTTTCCTTCTCAATCAGTTGGAAAATTTTCAGGAAATATTTATCTCTTCATTTTATCCAAAAAGTTGATGACGTAACCTCAAAAATATTGCTAATAAATCCCACGTGAAATAAGCAGCATTGCTATTTCTTTAACTGTGTTTTATTTAAGTAACCTTAGTTTCTCCTTTACGTATTTGAGCTATCTAAAGAAAATATTTTTTTTTTAGTTTGTTTAATCGAAAAACACTTTTTCTCTCCACTTTTATTTAAATTTACGTTACCGTTTTGGTCTTTATAAACCCGTCACTTGTTATTCCTGTCCTATAGTTTTCCTACTATTATTACTAAACTAAACTAATTAGGTAAACAGATTGATGCAGATTATAGATTAAAATCTGGCTCAATCTGTTTGGTATAATAATAAGAGAGATAACTATAGATAGTTCTAAAACCAAATAAAAAACAATAGAACAGGTATAATAAGTGAAGGTTTCAGAAAATTTTATGTTGTAAGCCGTCTGACGAAGGCTTTATTGAGACCGAAACCGGTAATGTAAATGTCAATAAAAGTGAAGAGAAAAAGCGTTTTTCGATTAAACATACCACAATAAAAGTACATCCACAAGGAAATGAATCATATAACGCCAAAAATATTTTTATCACTCAAATAATAATTTGTCGAAGAAACCAGACGAAATTGATAAAATTAAATTTATTTTACCCCTCCAACGTTTGACAACCTTACCTCAAAAACGACTCTTTCGGTTTCCTTATGTTTTACTCTATAGGTATACTTAATTTACGAACTTACTATATCGAATATACACTGTTTCCTGCTAAGCAATTGATAAAAAAAATTTTAAATACAACTTATACAAATATTTTCTTTAAAAACTGCTGGTGGAATTAATATTTATCATAAACGAAAAATTTTAATATCATAGTTTTATATTATGACAATTTGTATACAGAGTGAATCACTAAGCGCACTTTCCTCGATATCTCGGTAATAATTAGAAGTAGAAAAATGTCTACAACTAAAATCGTACAGTTCTTTCAAACCATATGCAAAAAAATATTTTCACCTATAGAGGTTTTATAACCATAGTTTGTTTTTAAATACAAATGCGACTTCGCCACGTTATTCCAATATTCTTGAAATTTTTTATCAATGGAAGAGTTCGTAAAAAAATCAAAATATGGTTATTTTAAAAATCTGGGGGAGAGATAAATAAAGATACGAACTCCATTGTGGTTGTATGTAAAATACAAAGTGTTCATAAAAAATTTAAATTACAACAATTTTTAAATTTTTTTTTTTTTTTTCAAATAAAATACCCCGTATTTTACTACTGCGTCTGCTTCTGTTCTCTTTCTTTCTTATTAAGTTTTTCTGTAGGTATAGTTGATAGCTTTTGCGATTTTTTACTTTTCTAAGGGACTAACCGACATACTGAAAGAAGGAAACTAAAAAATAGAGTAAGATTCAGCAACTAATACAGGGTGTTCTATTTGAAAAAATTGAAATATAGGTATCTGAAAATTGTATTGTAAGGGTTGTCATTGTCTTCAGGTATAGTAGCCTGCATAGATATTGTAGCCGTCCATAGAGTCGAAATTTGCGAATAAAAATAAAATAAAACCGGTTCAAACGGAGCCGACGGTGGCTTACAAAGTCTGACGTCACTCTGGCACACGTTGCACAGAGACGTATTTAATATTAAATGTCATTTTTTCCGTTATGATATAATCTGTTTAATTTCTGAGCTGAATCTCGTCAATAAAATCGAAGCTCTGTTCACTGTACACAAGTTGTGGTATGGTATATTCATCGTTGCGGAGGCAGGTGGAGCGAAAAACCTAGTCATCTTGACAGCAAACACGCCTATAAACTAGTCCACGTGGACTGTTTGTTTCCTGTCATATTTTAGTTTGCTTGAACCAATTGTGTTGCACCAAACGGTTATTACACTTGTTGAAATAAATTTTCAAACTTCCATCTTTCTCTAGATCATCGGTTTCGTAGCTGTGTGACAAATCGTTTGTCGTAGATAGAAAATAGTAAGATTACAGTGACCCTAAGATTTTGTGCAAACAGCCTTAAATACACCCCTGTGTGATATGACGCGTGCCGTAGTGACAGAACTTGCAAGCCGTGGTCGGCTCCGTTTGAGCCGGTTTTATTTTATTTTTATTCGCAAATCTCGACTCTATGGACGGCTACAATATCTATGCAGGCTACTATACCTAGATGATTAGAAGCTTACTATAGTTCCATGAGTTTCGCAGTAAAAAAATTTCTTATAAATTCGTAAAAAAAAAAGTAATTCCTGCTTTTTATTTTTATTTCTCCCAGTATTTATTTATTTCAATATGAAGAATACAGGTAATATGTAATTGTTTATGGTATTAACCCAAATTATATGTAAATTTTTCTGACCGTCGCGTGCAACTGTCCTATACCTCTCGGGTAGTTTGTGCGCAACTCTCCCATGGAATTAGGATCACCTCCAGATTTTTCTAACTTTGCTGCGCAACTGATCCATGCGCTAATGACTCACCTGTAGATAATTTTCTAAAAATGCGCATCGAAATTTTAAAAATTTGGTTTTTTTCTAGTTGGACTGAAAAAAAAGTCTTTTTGGCTTTTTGGACCGAAACATAGTTATAAGAAAGCCACGTAACAGACCATTGTTATGCAAACTTGGTTAAAATTTTGTTTTGTAACGACAATATAAATGCCTTGTTAATGCTGCTGTTCAAATTCTGTTATGTTTATAATTATATATGTAGACAGTAAAAAATTATGCCATTGGTACAAATTTTATTAATAAAATTTTGCTTTAAACAAGCAACATAACATGTTGTACTGCCTACTTTATCATCTATTTTTTCTTAAATATTTAAGATTTATTTAGAAGATCCCATAATGGATTTACTTAAAATTTTTAGTAAAACCATAACACTGACTTAGTAGTTACAGAATATGAACAAAATTGACGTCACATTGTTATTTTTCAGAAACCCTCACCTGAAAGGTGTAAATGGCTTAAAAAACCGCCCTTATTTTTACATTTATACTAAAATAAAATTGTAAGGTAACACAATTTATCTCGGAAAGTACTACGAAAGTATGAAATCGATCAATTAATTAATTGATACGCACGAGGAAGTATTTTCTGCCAGTCTTCAAATGTCGTTTTCCTTCATTTAACATCGGGTAACCATGTCGCTTACGTCAGCCGTTTCAGTGGCACTGTTGACATACCACCGGCCAATTAAAACAGAAATTTAGAAAATCACACGGTACAAACTTTGCAGAAACGAATATTAAAAGATTGACGAATGTAAAATAAAAATTACGAAATATAGGCATACGCGTAAGACAAAATGTAGATTTTTATTAAAGGGGCACAAATTATATCCAGCCAAATATAAAAATTTGACATGAATTGTATTTTTGTCCGAATCAAATTTACGCTAAAAATTACGAAAAATTAATAACAGTTTGAAAAAATAACGTGTTTCCTTAACTTTCCGCAAAAATTTTCGACTGCTATCAATAGTTCGCTATTAAGTCAATCAAAATAACTGAAAATATCTACCCTTTATTTTCCCACAGCACAATCGTATTTACAAAGCACAACGTATGTACAAAAAGTCCTGTACTATATAGTAGTGAAGCACTTTATTAACTCCAAACAAAAAACAATCAACAAAGTCTTGCTACGCAACTCAACAAACGCAACTAAACCACTAATCAAAAAAATCTTCCTATAGAAAGTAACATTTAATGAAGTATAGTTTACAGTTCAGTCAGTCAGTATAATATTTACAACAATACCCTATATTAAATGTACATAGACATTTACAGAATAACCTAAAATACTATATCCATCAATATCCCATCCAAATCCATTTAATCCTTCTTACAATGATAACAAGAGCAGCTAACGGCGGATTTAAAAGTTAGCGTTCGCACACCATCCACGCATAAAACCCGAGCTTCAACAGGTTCGGTTTCCATTATGTTGCAACATTGTCCGATAGACGTAACAGGTTGCGTTGGTGTAGCTTTAGGACCTGATGGCACGGCCCAGCTTTCGCAAAATCCTCGACAGGCGTTCGTCGTCATATGAAATTCCACACATTCCGGAATGCTGATCTTCCGAGTGTGTCCTAATCGTTAAAATTAAGTGCTCATTAATTTTTGTTTGGATAAGCAACAGACTTAAGAGGATTTCACTCACCCACTTTATGACATCCGGGCTTCTGCCAGGCGTCTCTTGCAGTTACCGTCGTTACCAGAAAGGCATCCGACAAGGACAAGACGGTAAATAAGAGCCAGCATGCCAGCATCCTAAAAGAAAAAATAGAGAACGTTACCACAAGCCTAATGTTATTTGAATTTTTTGACAAGCTGAAAAAGTTTTCATGAGTTCAGTATTGTTTATGGGAGAGTTAGAAATGAAACCTTTAAATAGAAACTCAAATTGTTTTGAAATTTCACGCATTTCAGTGTGGTTTTATATAATATTTGTTTATTTTGATGTTTTAGATTATCTTAAACATTCCAAGAATTGTTTACAACGGGAATTATTCCAACCAGTGGCTAAAGCTATTATGTTACCCTTAACCGAAGTTAAAATAAGCATATCTTAAAAGTAGGGTACATAATGAACTATCAAATTTTATAGAAAAAAAGTGAAAACTTCTATATTTGGTAGATAAACAGATACCCATCTAGTTAACATTTATTTACACTGAAACTTTAAAATATGTTTATGGTAAAATTTGTAAAATCAAAATTCCAAAATGTCTCGTGAAAATATCTACAAGAAAAACAAAAATATTCTTTAGTTCCACAAAAAAACAGTTTCCTAAAGATACAAAAAAAATTATTTGTCAATTGAATTTCAATAAAATATAAACATCTTTATGTTAAAATTAAAATGATATTTATAAATCATATTTCTTCCTCTGATAGCTTTCAAAACAATTTTAGTTAGAGCTATTTATTTTTTTTTTTTTTGAAGCTTGGTTTATATAAAATCTGCATTTCATCGAAATGTTACTTAACAATAATTAATTTTACATTTATTATTATAAACTCTTGACATATGCACACATCTACATTATTTAATGAAAAAAATTACTTCTATTAAATTTAAAAAAATGTGTAAAAATTATTTAATACGAAGTAAAAATACGACATGGAAAAAATCGCAGAGATAATATTTTTAAGACTCTTAAACAATGTGTGAATCATCACATAGCTGAAATTACATTATATTAATGGATTTAAAACATTTTTAGAGAAAAAAAAACGACATAAAAGAACGTCATTTTTTTCAATATTTGTAAAACACTTTCAAAAAATGTAGTTCGTTAACTGTATTATACTCCAAATAAAGCTTTCTAAATTTGCTACGAACTGTTTAGAGTAATTGTGAATACTATTATTTGTTTAATTAATGTTCACTGTGATGATTTGCTAATATGGCCAGGTGGCCTTGCGAAGGTCCGGTTGTGAAACTTTGTTCTGTCAAAAAATTCGAACACAAAAACCATTTCTTAGGGATTGTTTCTCTGACTCACACATTTTTTCTAAACAACAAGCTTTTCAACCTTCCTTTTTAATTTTGCAGTATTTTCAGACTTCGCTAAGTAAAACCATAATAATACATTTTCGGAAAAAAGATAGGGGTACTATTTTTTTATATATGTAATTTTTAAAAACTATAGTACACTTTATTAAAAATATTAGCGGCGCGTCAGATATGAATAGTTTATTTTTGAAAATATAAAGTTTAAAACATAAATTCGTGAAACATTCTGTATATTAATGTAAAATAACATAATCAACAAAAAAAGCCATTAAACGTCAGGCAATATGAATTAAAATGTTTAGAAGTTTCATTTTAAACTATCATGCAAGTATATTTAAAAAAAAAAACCTAAAAGGGTTTAAACGTTGGTGGATGCGCCGGGACATATATTTTTTTGTTTTAATAGTCTTAACATTTATTTTAAGATGTGAACACATGAGGAAGAGAAAAAAAGTCAGCTCAAAAAATATAAATTATTATTAGCAACAAAACAATTAATTACACGAGAAAATTCTAAAATATGTCGGTACGATATTCACATTATTAAATTTTTTTTAGAAAAAATTCACGAGTGAATATTGTTTGTTTAAAATTATTATTATCATTCCGGTTATGAATATAAAATTAATAACGTAGCATTTTAAATTAAACAAAAATGTTAGATAAAATTTATCGCGGAAGTACTGGACGAGCGATAGTGCAAACGCAATCATCATAAGATAAACACAAAGAAAGGTCTCATTATCAATTGTAAATGCGAAAACGATAAGTCCAGAACCGTATTAGAAATCTCGAAACAATAATTGCCGCCGTCGGCATTTCCAATTTCCCGTTCAACAAAACTCATTCCAATTCATCGAAAAAGTTGATTAAGAATCTTAATAATTAGCAGTGATCTTTACAAACAGAAGTCGATAAATTTTTGTTTAATGAGTTTCTAATCTAAAAGTTTCGCAAAACTCACCTGGAACGCCGTCGATGCTGCGGCGTCAGCGTCGGAACTTGAAATGAAGGGGATGAAACACGGTTATAATGTTTTCTATCTTCCTTCTACCCCCACTATTGCACTACATACACCCCCGTAGTGGTGACGTCGTACCTGAAAGAATGAATAAAAACAATTTTTATTTTATGAAAATTGCCATGTTTCGTTTTTCCATTAACTGTTGAACCAAGGATGAATTGCTGCGTCCCGGAAACTAAATGATCCGTGTTGGATTATACGGTGCGAAGAGGATTTTTCCATATGCATGATGTTTTCCGGCCCACGCGATTTAACAAATTTTAGAGAAATACGCAGAATGACTGGAGGGAATGATAATTTTGGATTTTTATAGGGGTGTTATGAAAAGTGATGCTGCAGTGGAGTTATGGGCGTTATAATTACACAAATATGTGAGAACATGAAATTACGCAAACAAATATTACGTGACGCTTAGAGTTTTGAATAGTTCTCATACCATATACCGTGACTAGGCTCTAACAAGTTATGAATATAAACATCGGTTGTTGTTATTAAACGTACGCACGAAAACATTGTTTTAAATTTTATTACCACTTCCTCGTTTTACGTTAAAAATGAATTAAATGTTTATTTACGCCGATAAAATTTACAAACTCAGTTTACCGTTTTCCTACCCTCCTCATCAACAACAATAAAATTGAAAAAAATTATGTGTAATGAATGAATTTAAAAACAAATAATCTCGTTTTTAAGGTAAATCAATAAATTTCGTTTTCATTAGCAAAAAGTATTGAACTTATTCGTTCACTTAACACATAAGTAAAAAAAAATATGTAATACCTACTTTTGGAGCGACCCAATTGCTGATATTAATGTTGAATGTATTAGAACAATATTGTCATTCTAGACTAAATAACCAGCTTCAGAATATTTATAATCAGTTCGTGCTCATTAAGCGGCTGTTTGAGTGCATCAAAATAGTTAAAACTGTTACGTTGCTCTTAATCAAGTTCAAATGAGTCTGCGACTAAAATTAAATTGCTGTTAGACGCAGCAAAATTTTAAAAGAACAGAACATACTCGAGTGATGGAATAACATAAAAATATGTTGTTTGATTACAGTGAACTAATAGAATTTGATGCAAAATCGATACCGACAGCATACTTGAATATATTACAATAAGAAGTGTTCAGAATACAAAATCGTGGATATTTACTAGTATTTACTACAATATGTATCTAATTATTAATTTTTCAAATCACATTTCACTATTTATATAGTGTTTCCTTATGGAAACAACTGAGAAAAAAGATGGAACAGGACAATTTTATCAGGTTTTTTTAATATCTGGAAACGAAGAATTATAGTAAAGTCGTCGATGATTCAAGTAACATGAGTTCTTCATGCTCCTTTCACGTGACCATTGATATTAGGCGATTCAAGTGTAGGAAGAGTGAAAATAAATAAATGGATCATGTCCAACACGTATTACTGTGGAAAACTGATCAGATAGGAAAAAATCAGAACTTAAATTATTGTAGCCAGTAAAACTCTCCCTCCTTGTGGTAATAGCGAGAGAGCAATAAAAACACGATCAAAGACAGCCATGAATTTTTGAAGATGTCTTTGATAGAAGTTGCGCCTTGTCGGATTTCCGTCAATTTCAAAGTTTCGATCTGAAAATGCAATGATCAACGGCAAACCTTCAAAAATCCGTAGCCGTCCTTGATCGTGTTTTTTCTTGCTCTCTCGGTAAATAAAGACTGTGGATTTCTAGAACTCAGTGTTTTGATTTCATCTTATAAGTTTTCTACATAATTTTTCCTGTTTGAAGCAAAATTTCTATCTGCAATTTTCGGCTGTGTGGTTTTGGCCTTAATTTAAGTGTGTTGGTCAACTACGGTATTTTGCACTCATTAACTGTAATAGTAAATTTTTTAAACTCAGATTGACTAAACCTAGTTTTGTTGTTTTGTTTCAAATTACAGCAATCTGATAAAAAATAATTATAATCTAATACTATTAAACGAGCAAAGTTTGTATATATATATATATATATATATATTAGGGTGATTCAAAAAAAAAAAATAATTTTTTTTTTCGTGCAAAGAGGTTCAAAAGTTTCTTTTCAACGTAAAAAAATACCAGTTAAAATTTGAGCTCTTAATATTAATATTAAGACCGTCCGCATCGCGTTTTTCTATTTCCCATAAGAATAACATGGGAAAATTTTTGTTTGCACCTTCTGATTTTTATTGCTAGCCCGTCGTGTGTCGTGAAAAAAATTCAATCACATATTTTTATAGAGAATTGAACGCTCTACAAAAAGTGTCTCCTATGATTGTGCGAGAAACCTGATAGTTGAAGAGTTATTTTAGGCTAAAGTTAAATTTATCCAAATTTTGACGTTTTTGATGCATTACAATAAATTTGATGGTCTTATTGGAATAAATCACCACAAAAATTTATACACATTTTAAATTTAGTTTTTTAAACAGTAATTGTTTATAATTTTATGCTATAATAAGGCCAGTAAAACTCTTTCCGAACATTTTCAGCATCAGTGGGTTAAAAAATCATAGTCAGGTTTCTCGCAAAATCATAGGAGACACTTTTTGTAGAGCGTTCAATTCTCTATAAAAATATGTGATTGAATTTTTTTCACGACACACGACGGGCTAGCAATAAAAATCAGAAGGTGCAAACAAAAATTTTCCCATGTTATTCTTATGGGAAATAGAAAAACGCGATGCGGACGGTCTTAATATTAATATTAAGAGCTCAACTTTTAACTGGTATTTTTTTACGTTGAAAAGAAACTTTTGAACCTCTTTGACACGAAAAAAAAATTATTTTTTTTTTTGAATCACCCTAATATATATATATATATATATATATAATGGGTTTCTCGAAAACAGCTCTAACGATTTCGATGAAATTTACAGGTTAGGGGTTTTTTGGGTCAAAAAATCGATTGATCATAATTTTAACTTCTGAAAATTACAGCTTCATGCGTTTTCAGCAATTTTCAGGCAGTGAATTATATTTGTTGCTAGGCAACTTCAGATGACACTACACGAACACGAGATTGTTTTATAAGAGAAGTTTGGGTGACAGTCTGACAGTACGTTTGACGTACCTTTTTATCTTCAATTGTACGTACCGAAACATACTCCACTGTATAGAGGACGTTAAAATTCACCTTCTGAGGTGAGAAAATTTACCGAAAACTAAACAGTGAGCGGATAAAAGGCACACGAAAGTGCGTTGAATTGAGATTATTTTGTCAAGCATTCATTTCAGAGGTTTCACGGTCGGAGTCAATGTGTGATCGTTTTCCGGGATGGGACCGTGTTATTTGAGTTTTTGGGCTCAATGTTTCGCACACTTTCGTAAGTGGCATCTTCGGGAGCAGGGTTGAGATTGAGAAATTAGGAATAACGCAAAAGAGCACGGTAACTCAGTATGATAACCACACCAGAGGCGAAACTCTTCTGGCAGTAAGAATATAGTTGTGACCTTTTTCTAGAGTCGAGAGAGAGAACTAGGAAAAAAAAAGAACGACAGAGAGAAAACTTGGGTAACAAATGAGATTGTAATAAATGTCAAACAATAATTCCAGTTTTCTGTTCTTTAATCTCTACATGTCACTTATCACTGTTTAAAACAGAGACTGCTTCTGGAATTTCTTTTTTAATGTGTATTTTTAATTAGCGCGTCTACTTCAAAATGCATACTATACGCATATTTATCTGTCCTAATCTGATCTAATACTACCAAACGAGCCGAGTGAAGCTCGGTCAACCAGATATTAGTAATAAATTGATTAAATTTCAGATCAAAAATATGTTACTGTAGTAATAAACTTCAAAAACTGAATTTAAAACATAAAAGGTCCGTGATATTATATTATAATAAAAATCAATTTGTGTGTCTAAATACATTCAAATTCCTTTCTGCAATTTATTAGAATTAAAAACATGATTAACTAAAGTAGCTGATTTCTTAATCAGCCTTGTCTCTTCATCAACAATTTGGAGCATTCCATAATTAGTACACTAATTCCACTAATGAATTGGAGGGATATCAACAAACCAATCTCACAATAACAATGAGATCATAATCAACAAGAGAAGGTACTATTAGTAATATTCAATAAATTATCTTCGGATTCATTAATAACCTCTTAACATATGAATATAATCCATACATATTTTTCATTTAAGCCACATATTTCTCATATCTAATTCTATTCATTTCTTTAATTTTTGTACAACCCTAAGCTCAATATTAGGCCCGCTTTTATTTGTACTTTTTATAAATGACCAGATTAACATATTTCAGCATAGTAAATCATCGTAAATATGTTAGACCGAAAATGCTCACTGCACTCCACCATATATCATTAATATAATTATAAATAATAAAAAAATAACAACGAAAGTTGTACGGTTCTTTGAGGACCATACACTGAAATTACTTTCAACTATACAGAGTGTTCTTAGTTTTTTCAAAGGGAACACATATTATTAAATATTCTAATTTATTTTTCTTAAGCTTTATAACTACAATTTATTTTTGAAATTCTGTTGACAAGTTGCCACGTTACTCCAGTTTTGTTGACGTTTATTTTAGCAATGGGAAGGTTCACAAAAAAACGCAATGAAATTATTTTTAAAATTATATACAGGGTGTCCCACGTAACACTTTCGGGCGCAATAACTAAGGTATTTTTGAACAGATTGTTATGAAATTTGAAATCTAGGTATTTTGATAGGTGAGGATTAATATGAACCGGTGAGAATAATCATTATCTTGAAAAAGTAAATTTTCCAAAACGATAAATTATTGCGCAAATAATTCCAAAAAGTATTAAAGGATAGGTAGCTATGAAACAAAAAACTACTCTACTATATATAATATTTTAAGAAAATATTAATTTTCAGTTGCTCCACTACAACCTTTTAGAAGGTGCAAAATTGTTTTAGGTTCAGGAATTAATTCTAACTTGAATGGAAATAATTTTGCTAGATGTATTTAACACCTTGTTTTTTCACTCGTTTTGGGTCTTGTACACTTCCCGTATCTTCAAATAAGTTTATTATCCTCTGTAATTTGAATTTGGTAAATTCGTCATCGGCATACCGTTCGATAAGAGTCCTGATTGTTTCATTTAGGTCTGTACGGCATTCTCCGTAGGTTAAAATAATTTCTGTTTTAATAATTAAAGAAAAGCGAACCATTTTCAATAACTTGTCAGATTTTGACAAAAATGTCAGGGGTGTACAAAACTGAACTCGGCGACGCAAGCAATTAAAAAAACAAATCAATTATTTTTTGCATTTTTATTAACGTAATTCTCTTAAACAAAAACAGTGATTTAATTAATTTTTCGCACACAGGCGTTATTTTAGTTGCTTAAAGTTATAACGCAATTTTACATAATTTTTAACAACAGGAAGCTGTGTTAAAATTCGTTTTTTGTACGATAAAATTGCTTTTTTGTTATCAGCATAATCTTTACCTATTATACTACACCTGTTTTAAATTTCATAAAAATCCCGTCAAAAATATCTGAGTTATTGCGCCCGAAAATGTTACATGGGACACCCGGTATATTATATAATGTGATACAATATTTTGAGGAGAGATAATTAATAAAGGTACGCATTTTGTTGTGGTATAAATAAAATTGTGTCTTATTATACCGAATGTTTATAGAAAATTAAATTATTACAATTTTCAAATATCGATATTTCAATTTTTTTCAAACAGAAAGAACATGATGCATTTTTTTGTTCTCTTTCTTTTTTAGTAAGTATTTTCTATGTTTAAAGTTGCCACTTATTACGATTTTTTATTTTTTTAAGAGATACACCGACAAATCGAAAGAAAGGGAACAAAAAGTAGAATAAGATGTAGTAATGAAATATAGGGTTTACTATCTGAAAAAACTGAAATATCGATATTTGAAAATTGTAACATATTTTTTTATAAACACTCTGTATATTAGAATTGTATTTAGTGAATACCACAAGCGCAAGTCTGTGTCAAATATTTCAACACAGATCTTAAAAATAGCATTACTGCTGTTATTTGTGAACCCTTGCATTGTTAAAAAAATCAGTAAAAGTGGAACAACGTAATAACGTCGCATCGGAATTTCAAAAATAACTTAAGGTTATAAAACCTAGGAAAAGGCTAATGAGAATATGTAAAAAAAATTGGGTATAACACTCTGTATATTCGAAAATAATTTTCACGTATGCTACTCAAAGAACCGTACTGCTTTTATATTTAACTTTTTCGCTATCTTTAATAATAATTATTACTGAGATATCAAGAACCGCGTGCTTAGTGGGTCACGCTCTACATACACAATATACGCAAGGTGATTCAAAATACAACTGCATAATTTTAATGGCGATTTATATGACAAAAAGTAAGTAAAAAGTTCTAGTAAAGTTATGATCATTTCTCAAAAATACCTACAGAAGGTGCGGGATTTTTAAATTTTGAAAAACCTGGTAAATGCCATTAATTACATATTTCATAGGTAACGTCTAACAATTTGTTACAAAAAGAATTGTTTTCCACGGCTGAAAGTAATCACATTAAATAAAAATCTACAAAACATGTTTTAAAGAGCCACACAAAAACTTGTTAATTTATATTTTTTAGAATGTTTTTTATCTATTTTGGATACATTTCTTTGAAAATTAATAGTGATCTTAAATTGAGTTTTGCAGACCGTTTTAAGTTTCGTTTTGCTATGTAGTTCTATTAAATATCCTACGATCGAAAGTAAAATTAATTAAGTATCCATATACTGCTACACAGTAATTCATTTATGAGTTATTAATAAAAACTAAACTTTTTTTCTAAACGGTCTACTTAGAGATGAACTCTCTCTCTCATACTCGGTTATTATAAGACATACCATATTGATTTCCAGCGATATTTTTTTTTAATAAACACTTTCTCAGATAACGTCATCATAATATTTAATTAATGTCCATAAAACTTCAGAGAAATATAAAGAAGTATTTCTAAAATAATTGATCAATGATATTAAACATGTTTACAATCGTTCTTGCATAATAAAAGTATTTTAATGAAGCGGAAACACCATAGTATATATTTGTCACTGTATATTTATTTAATTATTTTTTGATATATCGTCATAAATTTTTTTTGGAAAATATAAATAAAAAATTGTACTTTTGTGGCACTTGAACTGTCATCAAAGTTCAAACGAAAATTGATATTAAATTTAAATCTTATTTTTTACCACTAGGACTTGTAAAAAATCCAGTAATTTTGGCTACAGATATAATTAGTGGTTAATTTACCAACACTATACTATATCTATTTCAATTAATACAAAAGCTATTGTGTGGAAAGCAGTGAACCACCAGGCACGTTGGTATTTAATAAAGTTCTCAATTTTTTTTAATTAGTTTGATACCGGGAAACCATTAATTGTGTTTTTATATTAAATAATACATATATGAATAATACAATGATGACACCACCGCACATGTGCCATCTGTTGTTTTGCTGAAAAACTATGATTCGATTTTAATCTCAACGTGGCAACCTTGCATACTCTGACAAATTTGACACGTTAACGTCTAATCAGCTGATCTTTGTAAACAACACCAATAACATCACAAATTTTATTTTAAACACCGGAAATGATAGAAGACGCTTTAGAAGAAGAGCTGCTCCACGAATTCAAGGGTGGCACGTTAACAATAAACCCAGAAACTAAATTAAATAACGATAAACTGATAAAGCCTGATTCTCCTGATAACGGTGACGATAATGAATCCACGAAAGCAAATAAAAATGATAACCGTTGGGGCGCTAATTTCATATCTCCGTTAACAGCAATTCCAAATAAAAGTAAGTTTAGTATGATGGATAACAATCCGACTGTTTTATTATGTCACTTGATACCGGCTTAATTTTGTGTCCCTCTGTTTGTAGCTTAAGTATGTTAACGAATTTAGAAAACATTGTTTTAATTAAAGCGAAAATTTCAGTTTCTGCAAGTCTGTGGAATAAAAACTCAAGCTCAACGACGGCGTCAAGAGAGAACACGATTCAGCCAGCAATATGCATCACAGAAAATCCTAATAATTACTTTACGTTCCGTGAGAGTGTCCTAGCGAGGGCTTTGACTGAGTGCAAGGAACAGTTTCTTGATGAGGAGGCTGATGGCCCTCTCCTTGAAGCATTTCTTCTTACTCAGTATGAGGTTTTTCCCGAGTTATAAAAAATTATTCATTTTGTATTCACTTTAGAATAAGTCACTGGAATTCTGACAAAGAGAGACTCCTTTTATTAACACCACAAACTCTTGTGGTTGCTAAGTATGATTTCATTGCACTGCGAAGACTGGGTTATAAGAAATTGCCCCTGGAGTTCATTGAGGAAATTGTTTATGGAGAACTTGTCTATCCCAATGGATCGCTAATTCCGTAAGTTTTTCTGTTGGGTCTATTTGTTGTGAAAGTACTGTAAATTGTCTTTGTTGTTGCTGCTTAGCCAAATGAATGGACTAATGGATGGTCTCTCCAGTGTTTTGGAGACGTGCTTAGTGTCCAAATGGTCACAAACTGACAAGCAACTAAACTTTTTCAGACCTAGGTATAAATGCAGTTAATGAAGAACACCTTAAATTTTTTTACTTTTGTTTAAGATTTGGGTTTTTTAAATTTAATAATCTGTATTTTTTTTACTTAATTTATTTACTTAGTTTGTGTTTATTTCTCTCGTCATTTGTTATTTTTTAATTGTCACCACTTTTTTCGTGTACTAAAATTGAGCTCGCGGATGGCAATGGAATAAGTGAACTAAGTTATGTATCTCGGGTAAGATAGGCAACCCATTACGCAAATAGTCAACCGCTGTAGTTGTTCTGAATATTCTGAACTTTAAAATTAATGAATGATCGAAGTGTATGTTTGAAAAGAATAAAGAAACATACATTATAGAGCGACATAAGTCAAGAAAAACTAATGAAAGACTTTGAAAAATATAAAAGTAAAAAAACAGTGCAAAAACAGATATTTCAAAAATCACCGGTATGGACCACTGGATTCCATAGGGGGCCAGAGCGGTCACCAGTATCTGTTTCATATTTGCTACTCTAGCGCCACACAGACAAATAATTAGGCACTATAGAGCGAATATGTGCCTGCCATGACATGGGCACATTTGATCCCACAGTTGGTCTGTTGGTTACATATCTCATATTAATTTTACCGAGTGTGTGCGCTATGTGTGTCTGCTGTGGCCTCCTTTTTTGTCTGATTTTTTTTGATATGTTATGGGGCCACGGCGGACACATTTAATTACATAACAAAGAAACGACGTGTCCGCCGTAAACAAAGTGTCCGCTGTGGCCTCTTCATAACTTAGAATTGTGTCTGCTCTATTAGACTGCTCTGGCCCCGTCATGTAAAAACTGCATAAAATATAATGCACGGCCACAGCAGACAGAGGTGTTAGTTTTAGTTTTTTGAAAAATATGGTACAAAATTTTCGAATTTCAACAAATAACTTATGTACCTAACTATGTATAAAATTTTATGTAGAATACGTACCTGCCAATGTACGAATGTAAACTGGAGACGGCAGGAAATTAAACTGGTAAAACAACGAGAAGAATGTAAATAAAATAAACCCGTTTGAGTTGATAATCAACGTTTAAACTGAGTCATATTTTCTACCGCAGCCTAAGCGCTCACGACGTTCTGAAAAATCGCGAACTAAATTGCCGTACTTCTAAGATAAGACAGACTTTGGCAAATGAGATATCCTCTAAGAAAAGAAAGGGTGGGTGGGCGGGGCTAGTAATTACTAAGATAAGAGTGATTTTGGCACATGACATACACTTTAAGGAAAGAAAGGATGCGTGGGCGGAACTAGTATTTGGTAGGATAAGAGTGATTTCGGCAAATGGCATACCCTCTAAGAAAGGAAAGGGCGGGTGGGGGCGGGGTAGTACTTGGCAAGATTAGACTGATTTTGGCAAATGACATATCTTCTAAGAAAACAAAGGGCGGGTGGGCGGGGGTAGTCCTTGGCAAGATTAGTCTGATTTTGGCAAATAACATATCTTCTAAGAAAACAAAGGGTGGGTGGGCGGGGCTAGTACTTGCTAAGATAAGACTGACTTTGGCAATTGACATATGCTCTAATAAAAGACGGGGCGGGTGGGTGGTACCAGTATTTGCTAGGATAAGACAGACTTTGGCAAATGACATACCCTCTAAGAAAAGAAAGGGTGAGTGGGCGGGGCTAGTACTTACTAAGATAAGAGTGGTTTTGGCAAATGACATACACTCTAAGAAAAGAAAGGATGAGTGGGCGGAGCTAGTATTTTTAGAACTGACGAGAACTCTTTTAAGAGAGAGTTCATTTTTAGAAAAATTTTGAAAGTTGGTTTTGTTGCTTTTTTACGAATTTGAAATTGTAAAGTCCCCTAATGTCTCCTTGATTCTTCGTGTTTTATTAAAAAAAAAATCCACACAATCTGTAGGAGCGGTGACGTTTTATTTTTGAAAAATTTTTGAAAATATTTGAAGGAATTTTGAGGATCTGTTTTCTTTTAATAAACTTTCAGGATCTCTTGCATTTGATTTTTTTTAAACTTTGAAAATATGGATCTAGTGTGTCCCTAGTGGTTTTTTCATTTGTAAAAACATCTTTGAAGCCTCCTGGATTTTATTTTTGAAAAAATTTTGAAAAAGGTCACAAATTTTATATGTCGTTCGCCAATCTGAGAAAATATAATAACTATAAGCTTGTCAGGTACATAACCGAAACGATTAACACTTATACATTACACAAATTAAACTACAAAAATTACACAAAATTCTTCACAAAATGAGTACGTTATTTTGTGTTAATGATAAATGAATTCTGCTCACGGGCTCAATTTTTTTGCATTTGCTTCAGCTTCAACTATTTAAACTTCGCATAAAACATGTGCATGAAATTTATTTGATTTCATTTATGAGCACCCGCATGGAAATTAGCCCACTTTTTTAAGTATCGTGTTTGTATCACCTACATTGCAGCAAACTTGTCTTACAGCAATCGCAACACAAAAGGAGTCCGTCTGGTTTGGAATAAAAATAAACCGTACAATTTTAGTTCCTATTGGAATCCATTCAACGATGACATTCCCTTTTGCACATTCACTTATCACCCTCTATTTTTCCACAAAGGTAAGTATATTAAACCAGAATTTGCGGACAGTCATGAAACGAATGACCTGACCCTGGCTTCCGGTGACTTCAAATTCAATTAACGTGTCATCACTTACAATGTAAACCCATTTTTAGATTGTGTTGACGAAAAATTAAAAAACCTCTACTGTTTAGAAGCATTTGTGGAAAAACTGTCGAAAGCTGTCGCAGATTTACCAAGAAATAACGAAATAAGCAAAGAACCTTGTGTCATGGAGGAAAAGGATATCGTTTTGCAGACGTATGTTGGAATTGGGTCCATCATACACAATCGAAATGCACTGGGTTTTTTTAAAGTTAGAGGGAAATTCAGCTTTTAATGTGATATTTGATATTGCAATAATAATTATAGTCAATCCCTATTGCACCTCTTTATGGTCTGATTATTCTCGCAATACAAATGCACCAATCTATATATTGATCTCCTAAATGAAAAAGCAGCTTTGAATTTATGGCATCAATGCGATAAATTATTATTTGTGATATTATTTCTATGTGTAAAATGATACTAACCTGACTGCCTTGTTTTCCATTTCATCACTGAGCAATCGAGTTGTCATGGATAGCGGGAACAATTTAGAAATAATTTCACCCTAAAATCGTCAAATTAATAGACTATCATACAACAGAGCCAAATATTTTTACCTTCCTATTATAAATGTCTTATTGGCCTATTGGTGTACAAATAAACCGTGTTCTATTGAAGAGTTATTGATTTATTTCTCTTAACAACACAACACGTTATTATGATAATAAAAACTAAAACACTAACACAACAACTAAAAAACAGTAACAAAAACTAAATCCGTAACATCAAAAATGAACAAACTATCTTTACATGTCGGACGAATTAAGTAAATCGCGCAATATTTCCAAACTTTTGTCAGTTTTCATCCTCTCTTCCAGATCCTTCTTAAACTCGGAGCAGACTTCTCGAATGATCTTCAGATTTTCTTCACTATAATATGGACTCACGGGAATGCTGCTGGAAGTAGCCACACTTTCGTTCATCTTGCTTGTTTCGTTATTCTCATTAATAGCAACAGCAGGATTAAAAATAGTGTAACTTTCGTTCACCTCCAGGTGAATCAAATCATGAGCAAGTTCTGACAACCACTCTTCCATTTGTTCGTGGGCCATATCAAATTCTTCTTTTAACTGGTCGTTCGTTATTGAGAGATCGTCAAAAAGGTTGTCATTGTCGAAAAACGATCCCTGTAATTCCCCCATTTGTGTATCGGCGGCAGCCCCCTCCTCCTCTTCACATATTTGTGACAGCGAAGGTGTTTCCGAAAAGAGCGAATTGTAATTTTCTTCCGCTACATCATGCATTTTATAAGCATTGTCAGCAAAATTTTCTTCGTGATCGCTTGTTTGCGAAAAATCTTGCAAAGATATTGCTTTCTCGAAAAACAGGTCTCCACTGTGTTTATCGATTTTATAGGGTTTTTCGAGATCTGCTACAAGTGGTGGTGGTGGCACTTTGAATACTTGGTCGTCTTCAGATGAAGATTTATTCGTTAAACATTTTAGCATTTGATAGTTTTCCTGCGAAAAGTTGTGAAGTGATTCGATAGTGTCGGGAAACAAATCTGTAGAGTAGTTGTATGTACTTTCAACTTCCATCTTCTGAAGATTTTGGTCGGATGTAACAGTCAGAAAATCGTTGTTCGTAAGAAAGCTTGACCCCAACTTAAATGAATCTTCACTTGGCTGACTATAAAATTTAGGCGGTTCAGGCATTTCGTTTACACTTTTCACTTCTTCGGAAGCAGATTTCTCAAAAATGGTGATTTCTCCTTTAACTATTAAACACTGAAAATCTGAGCGCCTTTTTAGTATGTAATTTAATAGTCCTCTGACTTTCATTAACAGTCTCCGGTTATTGATGGTCTGCTCGTCTGGATTCATTCGTTTGACTTGGTCGAAATACATTTTTAGTTCAGGCCTTGGAATGATCACTTTTTTGATTAAGTGTTGGTGCAAGTGTCTATGCACATCTTCAAGGTTTAACTTATTTTTGTTAAGAGTTTGGATCTGCTCGAGTTTCTTTACTGGCTTGCCAAGTACAGGAGACAGGTTGCGTAAATCAAGATTCTGATTCATTTTGTTTGCTGAAAAAAACTATATCAGAAATAAATTTTCTGAAAAAAGCAGCAGTGAAAACGCGGATTGTACTGGTTTATGGTAATAAACAATGATATGGTAAAAAAGATGTGCCACTGTGAAAACAATTGGCCCCTTCAGTCATCAAAGTGTCGAAAAAATCTTCTCGGCAACCCAAAATAAAGTAGGGTGCAATAAAAAAACAACATTGTGAAATTAATGGACTCAAAAGTAAAATGGGCAAACAAGAAACCCAATCTTATTCCCCACGTCAACACATTTAAAAATTTCTAGAAAATTTGCCTTTCGGACATGGAGTATTCACGGAGAATATTTTGCACAAATTTTAATCAAAAGGTGCAAATGCTAGGCTATATATGGTCCTCAGAAATGCGTACCAAGTGATAAAACTCCTTTTTAATTTGTTGTCTTATCCAGGAGCGAACAGGGTAGGTATGGGAAAGGTACAATAACTGGCCAAATTGCCAAAAGTTAATCATTTTGCGTACATGCATTCGATGTCGATTGAACTAGAACAATGTTGACGTTTTAGACTACAATAAACGTTTCCAAAAATTGTTTGTAATAGTAAGTGCTCTTTGAACAATGAATCACAGTGGCTCAAGATATTATGTTACACATAACAAATTAAAATAAATATGCCATTAAATTTAGACTATTATAATTATTAAACGCGACACAATAATTTTTCCGGAACAAAAAATTCTAGAATATTTTATACAGATTTAAAGTCTCATTTTCGAAATCTAATTGTCATACAACGAAAATCCTCATTTTACTTGTTAAAGTGTTGTTGCTGGTGAGCAAATATTTTCCAAATGTATTTAACACTATAAAGAAGTTACTAGTTCTACCTTACTTAAATAGTAATGTTTTTAAGCATATTAAGAGGTCGCTACGTTTGGCTCTTATGGTGTTGTCAATATATTTACAGAATTACAGAATTACTCCAGCTTATTGTTATAAAATTTTAAATATAACTTGTCCACCGCTTTAAATATACAGCGTGTTATTAAAAGGTACGTACAAAATAAAATCGGCAACTGATCTCGAAGTATGGGTGTTAAAAGTTAAAAAAAGTTCAGGTAAAAGTGTTCGCCTTTTAGAGATAAAAATTATTAAAATTTATGTCCAAATTCGTTGTACGACTCTGATAAAAACATTATCTCTCGTTTCTATAGCAACATTTAGTCTTGACAAAAGTTTTATTGTTACAGTTGCTAGGATTTATTAAAATAAATTAATTTTAACTGTTTATCTTTCAGTAGCGTCTGAAAAGGTTGGATAAGGGTTAATTTTCCCCTTATAATTTTGATAACACAAAATAAGTTTTTCAGACTTCTTGGACCCCGCGAAGAACTGTCAATTTTGTTGTACGTACCTTTCAATAACACCCTGTATATGGCGAGGGTAGTTGTTTTAAACAGTTTATTATCATATATTTTTTAAATTTTGTTGAACTTTTTGCATAACGTATTGTTAGATTGTTACGAAATAAACCCAAACGCCGCTCGGGTACGACGCCTATGGGCCGTCGAGAGCTTTCTCGTATGTGTCGCGATAATAGATGAATCATCTGTGACGATAGCCGAGCGGCGTTCCATAAAGACAAGAGTGAAGCGGGTTACCGGATGTCCCGATTGCGGGGCCCAGAAAATTCTCGAAGCGGCGTTCTCGATCCATCGAGAGGAACGTACAGATTTAAATAGATGCCACCACCGTCGGGAACGATTTATTCAGCCAATTCAGTCGAGTCGAGTCCAGTCAAGTTGCGCCGGAATTATTTTGTTCATAATCGGTGTAATCAGTCGTCTAAATTCCAGTTATTAAGAAATAAAGTTTTGAGTTTTACCCACGTCGATTTTGAATCACCGATCATCGTAACAGTATTTTAAAAAATTAGCATTTCAGTTATTTATACAAATATTGGAACGCGATTTTCACCACTGTTTTCAGCCTACAAAACTTTAGAAACTGTACCAGATATATTTTCGACTTTATTTGTTGGAACTGAGATGTAGTAAAAATAAACGTTTAGCAGCTTCCTTTTTTTAATGTGTCGTTTTTAAGAAAAAAATTTTTCGATATGTCTGGTACGATTCCTGGAGATTGGTAAGCTTAAAACAGTATTGAAAACCGTGTTCCGAAATTTCCTTAAATAATTGAGATACTGATTTTTAAAAATACGTCACGCAAAAATTTTACTAAACTTAAAGAAAAGGATGATCACAAACTGTTTTTAACAAAACTGCCATTGCGTTATATAAAGAAAGTTATGGATAACCTATTTTTAAAATTTCACAAGCATAATTAAAATAAGTCTGTTAATAATAGAGATATTGCCTACATTCCGATAATACACCGAAAATTCCATGCAGAAAACGTAGCGATTAGCCTTAATACTTCCCGAACGGAAACTAAGAAAGCATTATTTTAGTCGGGTTCAATCGACGAATGTCTACTTTCAGGTTTTCTCGACATTTTTCCTGGAGGACAAAAAAGTAGATTTTGTATAGATAGTAGGAATATCATGTAGTATGTAGATAGTAAAACGCTAATCTGCTGATCGTCCTCACCTCAAAAAAAAAAATGATGACGTCATCTGCAAGATTTACAATAGTAAATGTTATTTTTGTAATTAAATTTTATAAAATAACATACACCTGCACTATTGGTTTATGAATCCGTGTTGAGTTTTTCCTTAGATTTGGCCCTGTCTAATTTGACCACAGTTTATCTTGCAGATTGGGGGTTAAAAATACTGAAATCAAGTCAAAACTCGACATTTGCTTATTTATCAATACGAAGATTGTTGATACAAAATTTCAACCCGTTCAGAGAAACCCTTAAAAACCACCCCCAAAACAACCTTGCAGACTGGGGCTTAAAAATACTCCAATCAAGTCAAAACTCGATATTTCTTAATTTCTCAATACGAAGATTGTTGATACAAAATTTCAACCCGTGCAGAGAAATCGTTAAAAACTACTCCCAAAACAACCTTGCAGACTGGGGCTTAAAAATATTCTAATCAAGTCAAAATTTGACATTCGCTAGTTTCTCAATACGAGGATTATCGATGCAAAATTTCAGCCCATTCGGAGAAACCCTCAAAAATCACCCCTAAAACAACCTTGCAGACTGGGGGTTAAAAATGCTCCGATCAAGTCAAAACTCGATATTTGCTTATTTCTCAATACGGAGATTGTTGATTCAAAATTTCAAGCCGTTCGGAGAAATCGCTGAAAACTACCCCCAAAACAACCTTGCAGACTGGGGCTTAAAAATACTCCAATCAAGTCAAAATTTTATATTCGCTAGTCTCTCAATACGGGGATTATCGATACAAAATTTCAGCCTATTTGAAGAAACCCTCAAAAACTACCCCCAAAACAACCTTGTAGACTGGGCCTTAAAAATAATATTATTATTACCAAATCGAAACAGCCTTTTTTTAAGCTGCTCTTAACAAGTACCCCAAAGCAATCTTTCATAATGGAGCTTGAAAATACTCCAATTGAGTCGAAAGTTACCACTTGCTGAGTTCTTTACACAAAAAATTATCATGTTAAATTTTAGTCACCTTGAAGCAACTTATAAAAATGATTGATAGTTCACATTCATTTAAAGTACAAGTAGCAGAAAAAATTTAGATACATATAAAGAAACAGTACATAGTTCTAAAGTAGGTGCGCACCATAGAGGTAGAATGAGAGGAGGGAAGATAGTTTGAAAAAATGCCTCGTACCGCGCTTTCTAATAGGTCATAAATGGTTCTTCCAGGTCCTCCGAGAAACTAGTTGTTCCAGTGGCGTGCTCGAAAGCGTTTGCGGGATACTAGATATAAAACAAAAATAATTTCATAAGAAACCATATAAAAGCAGCAGCAGCAAATTTACTTGAGTTTTTGATTGGTTACGATTCGTTACTACGGTCGTCGTGTTATCTCCACATTCGCGCAAACCGAGCTAATTCCTACAACAACTGCATATACACTGACCGGCAAAAAAACCGGCCATCCTGAAAAATTTCGCAAAAACTTTAAAAATTATTAATTTAACTAGTGATCGTTATTTCATTAAAGAACTATTCACTATTGACACATGATATATAAATTAGCAAAAAAAGAAAACAAATAAACACAGAATTAAATTTAATTTAACAAAATAACAGAAACAGAGCGACAATTTGACAGACGGCAAAAGAGCTAAATGTTCAAAACATACAGCATCGCAGTTAGAGAGATTTCTCAGATGTTGCCGGCTATTGAGAATTCATCATTTTCTGGACAATCGTGTGGTTGTGCTGGGCGATGAAAAATATTTTACGTTTGCCTATTCAGAGATGGAAGGATGGATTTTACACAAACAATATAGAAGAAATTACAAATAAAATTAAGTCGAAGGCAAAGTTTGAAGATAAAATTTTGGTTTGAGGGGCTATATCTTCGGCTGGCGGTTCAGCACCATTCATTGGCCGTATTAGAAGTGACGCGGTCAATACATAACAATATATGGGAACTCCATAATAACGACGATGTAATATTTTGGCCAGATTTAGCAAGATGCCATTATACTACAATGTCCAGGGATTGGTTAGAAAGAAATAATACAAATTTTGTACCTAAGATAATCCCCGCATAGTGGCCCCAGTGCGAACAATCGAAAACAAAATTTGGGCAATACTAAGTAAAAAGGTTTACAACAACGGCTGGGAAGCCAATTTAGAAGAACAAATTACTAGAAAGTTGTTTATTTGTTTTCCCATTAATAATAATTAATTAAGAAATTAGCACTTTTCTGGGTTCTTTTTGAAATTGAAAGAACATTAAGTTTGAGCTTCCTATTATTAATTGAAACTTTCTCTGAAAACGTTTTTTTTTACGTTAGGTTTCTCAGAAATTAAAAATGTCTCTAATTTTCTTTAAAATATCTTTAAGATTTTGTTTCCTATGAGTTTTAAATTTTCTCTTCTGGACACCACTTTGTATTTTTTGACTGATGATGAAAGTTTAATTATACCTCAAAGAATTCAAAACCAGCATATAGTATGTTCTGAACGAACCAAGTAAACAGCAAAAATGACGTGTAAAAACAATGCCGAACGTATGCATTCTTCCATAGTAGCAACTGATTATTATCTAACAGCGATAAACATGAACTCAAATTATCGCAATTCACGTGTCTATAACAAATACTCCTATATTCGTAATTTATATATTTTTTAAACTTAAATATTAATAAATCAATTAATAATTAACAATAAAATAATAAAAAAAATAATTAAAAAAACTAAATTAAATTTAAATAATAAAATAATTTTTTGGAGTGATTCGTTAGGAACCCGGAGCTTTTAGGGCGATTGTCGGGTAGCCGGGCGAGCCAGTCCGGCGCTGTTTTAATCCCTAGTCTGTTTCTTTTAAGGATTTCTCCGAATGTACTGAAATTTTGTATCAACAATCCTCGTTTTAATAAATAAGCAAATGTCGAGTTTTGACTTGACTGGAGTATTTTTAACCCCTATTCTCCGAATAGGCGGAAATTTTGAATCAATAATCCCCGTATTGAAAAACTAGCGAATGTCAAATTTTGACTTGATTCGAGTATTTTTAGGCTCCAGTCTGCAAATTTGTTGTGGGGGTAGTTTTTAACGGTTTCTCCGAACGGATTGAAATTTTGAATCAACAATCTTGGTATTGAGAAATAAACAAAAATCGACATTTAACTTGATTGAAGCATTTTTAACCCCCAGTCTGCAAGGTTGTTTTGGGGGTGATTTTTGAGGATTTCTCCGAATGTACTGAAATTGTGCATCAACAATCCTCGTATTGAAAAACTAGCGAATGTCAAATTTTGACGTAATTAGAGTATTTTTAAGCCCTAGTCTGCAAGGTTGTTTTAGGGGTAGTTTTTAACGGTTTCTCCGAACGGGTTGAAATTTTACATTAACAATCTTCATATTGATAAATAAGCAAATCTCGGGTTTTGACTTGATTGGAGTATTTTTAACACCCAGTCTGCAAATCTGTTTTAAGGATGGTTTTTTAGGGTTTCTCCGAACGGCTTGAAATTTTGAATCAACAATCTTCGTATTGAGAAATAAGCAAATATCGAGTTTTAACTGGATTGGAGCATTTTTAACCCCCAGTCTGCAAGGTTGTTTTGAGGGTGATTTTTGAGGGTTTCTTCGAATGGGCTCAAATTTTGCATCAATAATCCCCGTATTGAAAAACTAGCGAATGTCAAATTTTAACTTGATTAGAGTATTTTTAAGCCCCAGTCTGCAAGGTTGTTTTGGGGGTGGTTTTTAACGGTTTCTCCGAACGGGTTGAAATTTTGTATCAACAATCTTCGTATTGAGAAATAAGCAAATGTCGAGTTTTAACTTGATTGGAGCATTTTTAACCCCCAGTCTGCAAATTAGAAAGGCCTCTCAGATTTTTAGAAAAAAAAATCAAAATTTTATAATTTTATTTTCTACAATTTAACTTTGAAACTAAATTTATTGAATATTAATTCGCAAAATTAAATTTTATAATTTTTCGATGCAGCTGTTCCCTTGTACGTCAGGAACGAGAAAAGTTCTGTCTAAATAATTTCACACCATTTTTTTTTTGTAAATAAACAGAATTTCCAATTAATCAACAATATTTCTTATTTTACACAGTTACATATTATCCTTAAAACTGGACACTTTGATTCAGAAGTTAGATGACTGTGTCTGCGCAAAAATTTGATTTTGTAATTTTTTAATGAAAACCTATATAAGTTAAAACAAAAAAATATGTGTGAACTATTACAAATACAGGTAAAGAATAAAAAAAATTTGTGATGACGTCATCAATATTTTAGTAAGGACACGTGTATCAAATGGAATAGGTGTAGCTAATACTAATAATAATTTTTGACTTGATAAATAAAATAAATAGTTTCACTCATTGATTTTCTTGAGTCTAAACAATTCTAGATTAAAAGTAGGGCCCTCAGAATTTACAAACGTTCTATATTAAAATTACGGAGTCGATCGCTTATTAATCTTATTATAGAGTAGGGCGTTCAGAATTCCAAAGTACTGCATCCGTCGCTTCTAAAATACGACGTTCACGTTCGTACACAGTGCTAATATAAAATTAAACAATATTTCCCGAACTTACGCTCGAGAAGCAACAATTTAATAAGAAATACGGCGTTCAAAATGTACAGCGTATGTCGTTATAAAATACGGCGTTTGTACACACTGCTAATATGAAATTAAAATTAAAAATCTAATGTCTAGGATGTCAAATGAAGGCAGATTTATACACTACAAGTATAAAAGTATGTTATCTTATGAAATTTAAATAAAATTTACCATGCAAAATTTTGAAGTGACGTCATCGCATTGTTGGTGGAGACGATTAGACAAATTTTGGTTATTTTGGTTAAAATACATATAAAATTTGACACCAATTATTATTAATTAGTAATTGTTAATAAAATCTCCATATAAAGAGCCTGGACGTTTAAAATAAGTATTTCTTTTTTATTAGGAGTTTTATTTTTTAACTATATTTAGTTTGTGATAACATAAAATGTTGGAAAACACTTAGCAGAAATAAAGATAGTGATTTTATGAACAATCTTACAAATTTCTGTTGGTTAAATTTCAATAAATAAGTTTTCGCTACTTGGTCAACTGACCTGGGAGGGGGCTCGTATACATATCCTTTCTTCAGAACTAAATTACCACAATCTATCAATATGATAATAAATTTCAAAGCTTTATTTTTTTAAAGAAAACAATAGCAACTCCAAAAAATTGTATATACATTTTTTTTTAATTTGTTGTTCTTCAATAATTACTACTAACAAAAACGGCATTCATGAATTTATTAAAAGTATTTTTGAGTTAATTTCGTTGGTATATTTACCATTTTCAAAAACAACGTCGTTTGCATAGAATTTTTTGAAAGGATTTTAGCCAAAAATAACGCAAAACTTTACTATCCAACTGTCCATTACGTAGACAGGCTGATTCAGCTTAAATGACTCACTTGCGTCTTTCTAATAGGCAACTCAACATACATTATTCGTTTATTTCTTGATTCAAAATTGATAACACAAAGTTTGGTTAGCGTTTTACCATCTATAATATGATATCGTTAATACATTTATTAAATTTGACAACAGTTGGTCCGGTAGTTCCGCAAACAGACGGCGGACAGGCAGACTGACAGACAGTCAGACATACGGAAATGGGAAACTTGTGTTTTTGTACTCTAGGGGGCATGACATCACACAGAATAAATTCAAAGTTTTTCTTTACGTACATTTTGGTACGTTAAAATTTAAAAAAAGTTACAAGCCATTGCACTGTGACACCCGGGCCACCAAATAACTTAGTTCGCCCCTGGTGTTACCAACGATTGATGTGTCGCTGTAAAACAGCATGGTAGTATTTTGCTACCCAAAAACGCATTTCGTTGGTTAAATTGTTACCAGTTTTTGATAACTTGATTGTTAAACGTTGAATAAAATATTCGTTATCAATATTGAAAACCAAAAATTTAATACGAAATTTGGACTACCTTTGTAACCCCCAAAATCATGTTGGAATATACAGGAATAAATCCGAGATGTTTAATTAACATTTTTTAAAACTCTTTTAGAAAATGGCGGCTCAAAGCCATGGTCACTAAAAAAAATAGAAAATGGAAAATTTCGGAACCCAATTTCTTGGAACATATGAATTTTCTGTATTGGCAATTAATTGTATACAATAACTTGAAAAAGGTCACATACCTATTGTTTTAGTTGTTTTCACGACCAAATTTAACTTCTGAAAATGTTAAAAAACCACAGCAACACAATAATTCTCATTAGCGTCGATTTTTGCAAAGATCACTTGATTCAAATTACCACCTCAAATTCTCAACTCAACAAAATGATAAAACAGATTTCTGTAGTGTCATACGTCATATGTCAGTTATTTAAGGTTAGGTTTATGTTTTGTTTATTTTTTATTTTCCAAACAAAATGTAGTTGAAAATGCTTCGTCTCCTCACAAAAACTTCATTCCTTGTTGGCATTTTCATTGGAGTATTCCTGGCTGTGCTACTTAAAGTAAATAACAAGATCAAAACAGACCCCGAAGATCCACCTCGAGTGTTCACACCAACAACCTACAATAGCTGGTTCAAAGAACGAAAATTAGCGCGTCAACAAGTACCATTCGACTATTTGCGCTACAGTAACCAGACGTATGTAACCGAATCCGAATATTTGTATAAAGACGTGCCCATATTCTGTGTGATATTAGTAAAGTCTTCAAAAAATGCAAAGGCAGCTCAGGAGACTTGGGGCCGTCATTGCAATCACGTTCTTCCAATTAATTTAAGCAGCGACAAGAAGAAAATACAAATCAAGCGAAATAATGAGGGGTCTTCGTGGGTTATTTTATGTAAAATGTTAAAAGAAGTACCTGAAGAATTTAAATGGGTTTTAATAGTTTATGACTACACGTTTGTATTAGTTGAAAATTTAAGACTGTTTTTGGCTGGGTTAAATCATAAGGAGAAGTATTATCTCGGGCACACTGTGAAGTTTTGGAGTACGGTTTATAATATGGGTCAAGCTGGTTATGTTTTAAGTAAAGGTAGTGTCGATAGTTTGAAGAAAAAGTTTAATGAAACGGATTCATGTTCAAAAATTTTGACATACAGAAACCAAGAAGATTACTATTTGGGGCAAAATTTGGCAGTTTTGAATATCACGCCTGTTGACACAAGAGATATGAATGGGTTGTCCACTTTCCACCCATATAATTTGTACCATGTATTCTTTCCGGGTGATAATTATTACAGATTCAGCATTTATCCACATAAGTGTTGCAGTCCATATACTATTGCATTCCAAGTATGTTGCAACAATGTATTTTTTTTTATTCAATTTTTATTTTTAGGCAATTGAAGGTGATAAAATGTATACTTATTATTATTTATTATATACGGTGCAATTGTTTCATTTTGGTCACTATGGGAATAAGCCACCTATTAAGACATATGCAGATGACGAGGTAAATATATCTTAACAGCTAAAGTTTAATTTAATCGGTTGTGGTGGTGTTTTAGGTTTGGAAAAATTTCTTGAAGGAGCGCAATATTCCAGAGAACATAACGCCTGAGCAGTATTATAAAGTTTGGGAAAATATCGTCGACGATCCGACTTCTTTTGCAAGGCATATGAAACGTGAAGAGTATTTTGACTACACTTGAAAACAGTGTATAAATTAATAACAATCCCGTCCATCTTGTACTTAAATATTTTTTTAATTAAAAAAAGTAAAACAATTTATCTTTTATTGTGTTATTTCCCAAACGTGAATCAGCACCATGCGTGAGATATGATAATAATTCATCAAGCGTCTGCTCATCTTCCTCTCTGTTGCAACCTTATCGACAATTTTTTGCGTCCTAATTTTAAAACCGTGCCTTGACACACATTTTATCAATTCCTAAACTTTAAATTTTTCAGATATTCATTTCCACTTCCTAGCCACCTACAGTAAATTTTTGCACGATTTCAGCGAAGCTGCTGATAAGTTTGCATTGGATCTGCGCTCGCAGAGCCAGGGAGCTTTCATAAATTGTTCCACTTACTAGCTTGCATTTTTTCCATGGAATTGATATTTGATAAAGTCCTGAATTCAGTGCGCTATAAATTCATTCAGCGATGTTGTGTTGTCATGAAAGGTTGTAGTTAGTGATGATGGGAAAATTTTGTTTTCTCGTGATTTTTTTGGTACTTTCAAGTGAAGTTAGACCACAAACGCCGCGATATTTACAATCGAAATATGGAAATAACGGGAATGGGGCCGCTCAAAGTCCACCTCCCAGGTAAGTGGTTTTTGGTATTGTCGAAATTTTGGTGGATGCGCCGGAAAAGTCTGTAAAAGTAAATTTTAATTTTATTCATAAGGAAAAATTAAACAATAATAGTCGTCTATAAAACAAAAAGTAAAAATATGAATAATATATATTATGTGAGGTGTAAACACACCTAACATTTTTAATATTTTTATGTCGCAGTTTTTATAATAATTTCTCCAACATTTTTTAGTATGACTAAAATTCATTGTTGTTAATTCTGTTATATTCCTTTGCATTTTTAACGATAACCGTCACTGCTTTTCTTAATTTATTTGTCACATTTTGATTGTAGTTTTAAATTTCTCTTTATTTAAAATTCTTAGCCAAAATAGTATTTTACGGTTATTTTCAAATTTGAAAATATGTAGTTTATCCAAACTTATTTCTTGAGATGTTTTTGAAATAGGTTTCTCTGATTTAATGTACTTCTTTCTATAATTCTTTATCACTCTTTCAATAAGTATTAAATACTCTTATCGCAGAGAACCAACACAAAATACGCATTTCAGTATTTATTAAAGTATAGTCTTTTTGTTCTAAACTATTTTACAGTGGAGTGAAAACGAAAACAAAAACCGCCTCCCGCCAGGGAACTCCACCCCCACGGAATGGAATGCGATTTCGAGGAGGTAAGAAAAACTAACGAAAACCATTATCTAATAAAGATCAAATTTTTAAAAATTATGGCTTCATAGTCTATAGGGGGAGTCACTAAGCGCGCGTTCCTCGATATCTCATTAATTATTAGAAATAAAAAAAAAAAGTCAAAAACCATAGTTGTAAGGTTCTAGAGGATTATACTCTAAAATTATTTTTTAACTGTGCAGAGTGTTCTTTTTTTAAGGCGTAACACACAACTTAATTTTTTTAAATGCAATACCCTATATATCTTTGTATATTTTAATTGATTTATTCCTAGGCTTTACAACTACAGTAAGCGTAAGCTAAGGAAGTACTTATAGTAATCGAGTCCATCGGCCGAATTGCCACTTTCATATTTTCTCGATGTGTCATGACCTCAAGAGTACAAAAAAGTGGTCTCTCATTTCCGTCTGTCGGTCTGTCTGTCTGTCTGTCTGTCTGTCTGTCTGCCTGTCTGTCTGTCTGTATCCATTTTTATTAGACAAGTAATCTCCGAAAATACTGAAGCGATTGTTGTCAAATTTTGTATACCTATATATTTATTAAGAATATCATGTAGATGGTCAAATACTAACTAAAATTTGGCTAATCGTCTCCACCCCCAATAGGATGACGTTATCTCCAAAATTTATAATAAAAAGTTTTTTTAAGTTTCATAAAATTAGATACCCCTGCATTTGTGGTGTGTGAATTTTCACCCTAGACATCCAGAATTTTTGGAAAAAATTCAAAACTGAATAACAATATTTTGCAAAATAACTTTGAAACTGCAAAGCCGAATGCTCTGAAATCTTGTAAAATATGTTAAGGTTATCGTAATTATAGTAAATCGTTAAGCAAAATTTATTTGTTTATCCCTTCCCAAAAAATTGATGACGTCATCTCAAAATTTTGCCGAATAAATATGCAAAATGTGATGAGTCTATACCTGTGATTTATCATTGCATTAAACGTTTTTAAATTTCTTATACAGGGTGACTCATAAAAATTAATGAGAGTCAATTTATTTTTTTGATTAAATCAGGAACGGCTCACTACTTTTAAAGAAACACTCATGTGGAAGGTACGCGCAGCACGCTTCTTTACATTTAATTTAACGTTACATACATGTCTTTACTTTAAATAAGGGTTCTTATAAAAAATAAAATTTGTATAATCAAATTTTTTATTTTTTTTTTTTATCTGGATTTATTTTATTGTATTTTAGGGACGAGGGAAGTTCTGTCGAAATAACCTTCGACTAATTTTTTTAATTACAATTATTACAATTTTCTTGAAATTAATGTTATAACATTTTGTGGAGAAATAAATAAATTTACCCGCTTTGTAGTGATATAAATGTGATTAAATTTTCGTAAACAGAGTGTTTATAAAAAATGTTTTATTTATTACAATTTTCAAATATCGATATTTCCGTTTTTTTTAAATAGAATACTCTATATTTTATTACTGCATCTTATTTATTTTGCTGAGTATTTTCCATATTTAAAGTTGATAGTTACTGCGATTTTTTACTTTTTTTAAGAGATACATCGACATATTAGAACAATGAGGACAAAAACATAGAGTAAAATACAATCATAAAATAGAGGGTGTCGCAATTGAAAAATCTGAAATATCGATATTTAAAATCTGTAAAGTTCTAGAATTGTTTATAAAAACTCTATAAAAAAATGTATGTAGTTTAGTTTAATTAGATTTTATTTAAAAAACCCAAACTATGGCTGCAAAGCCTAAGAAGACGTCAATCAAAATATTTAAAAATATGTAGGGTGTTCAATTAAAAAAACTAAATTGTGTGTTAGGCCTTAAAAACAAAACATTCTGTATAGTAAAAAATAATTTTAGAGTATAGTCCGCAAAGGACTTTGGTATTAGACTTTTTTGTCAAATGTTATAATTTTTTTTTATTCTTACGCTCCAGAAGTAAACTAAATTTAAGTAATGTCTATTTTCTAAGATTAATTACTGATTTTAGTGCATTTAATAATAGCTATTTTTTTGTTTCTTAAATAAGTACGGTGCTGGATCTGTTCTGTTATTTAAAGTTTCTATTTTTCTTCTGTAGGCTTCTATATAAAAATTATTATTATTACTCAAAAAATTCGGCAAAGAGATTATCAAAAATGGAAGAGAAAATAGGAGTAAAAAATCGTACAAAAAAAGAAAAAAAAATCGAGCAATAAGTTAAACAAAAAATCCAACGAAAAATTGAGCAAAAAATATAACAGAAATTGAATAAAAAATCTTACCAAAAACCGAACAAAAAACTCGCTAAGATGTACCGAAAAATTGAACAAAAAAATTATATACCAAATCTAACAAAAAAAATATCGAAAAAAAAACAAAAAATTTCAAAAATCGAGCACAAATCGAAGAAAAATCAAACAAAATGTTGAACAAAGTTTCAGTACAAAATGGAATAAAAAAATTTAAAAAAATAGCGCAAACAATTTAAGAAAAAATGAATAAAAAAATCGATAAACATTTTGGACAAAAATAATTTAAAAAAAAAATGAAGAAAAATCAAACAAAAAGCGAACAGAAAGTCGAACAAAAAATGTAGTAAAAATATTCGATTTTCTTTTGATTTTTTGTTAGATTTTTTGGTGAATTTTTTGTTTGTTTTATTTTTAAGAAATAGGCGCATCAACTGCTAAGGCTATTAGTGCACAAACAGTTACAATGTCTGTTTTAAAAAATGGTTTTTGCTAGTTTTATTGTTCGATTTTTTGCTTGTTCAATTTTTTTTTCAATTTTTCGGCCTATTCTTCTGTATGACTTTTAATTGGATTTTATTTTGTTGTTATGTTCCATTTTTCTTCCATTTTTTTGGTTGGGTTAAAAACAAAAGTTCATTTTAGCGTTGTTCTGAATTTTCCAGAAGGGCTAACTTTGTATCTCAATTAAAAATGCAATACTTAATGGATCTTAGAATGATCACCTTTGAAAACGTCACCTTAACAAAAGGAACCAATTTATATATGTATTTTACTTCTTTATCTCATTATAAAAGTATAATTTCTTTCGAGGTTTATTACTTCCCGAGCGTAAGCGAAGAAAGTACTGTAATAATCCATAGAGCGACGTGATGCTTTCATGTTTTCTCGACGTTTCATGACCCCAAGAGTACGAAAAAAGTGGCCCCCGTTTCTATCTGTCTGTCGTTTGTCTGTTTGTCTGTCGTCTGTACAAATTTTATTAGACCGGAACTATTGCACTGCACTACTGACTGTTGTCAAATTTTGTGTGTATATTAGGAATATCATACAGATGGTAAAACGCTAACCAAAATTTGGCTAATCATCCCCACCAACAATTTAATGACGTCCCCTCAATTTTTTTTCACTAAACATGAGTTAATTTTTATAAAATAACGTACTTTTGCATTTAGAGTTTATGAATCGGTATTAATTTTTTACGAAGACGTTAAAATTTTGGCAAAAAAGTCTCAACTGAATAACAACCTTATTATAAAATTTATAAGTAACGATGAACAGGATGGTTGCGTAGCGTAGATGGTTCCCATGTTCTGCAATTATCTATATATTTTTTTATCTATAGAGGTTATTACAAACAAAATCAAATTGTATAATTGTTCGAAGGAGGATTTTTTAGACCGTACTTTGGGGACGAAGGAAGTTCTGTCGATCAATTTCTTTTTATTTTTGTAAACATAATTAAAATCATTTATCTACCCACGGAAACCGCGGTTAAAAAATAAATAACACTTTGATACCACAATCTCTTAATTATTTCCTGCCAATTTAGCCACTTTTCATTTTAGGATGCAATTCCGCCCCTCCCACACCTCAGAATGCAGGAATTCGATGTTCGCAGTACAGCGGTTGCAGAGCTGATTGCCTTCCACTTTATCAGTTCCCAAATGGCGCCACACAGCTATTTATCACTTGTGAAAATGGCCAGTGGGTAATCGAAGGAGGAATTTGGCAATATGTCCCTTCCTGTCAACGTAATCATTTCCACTTGATAACAATTAAATAGTCGTAATTTTTTATCTTCGACTTGCAGCGATTTGCTTACCACCTTGCCAAAACCAAGGGATCTGCATTGCGCCCAACCAGTGCCAATGCCCGGAAAATTACTTCGGGGGCTATTGCCAGTACGAAAACAAGCCGTGCTTGAGCTACCCGCAGCTGCCCACCAACTCGCGGAGATCTTGCACTTCAAAGTAATTATATTTCTTATAGTTAAAAAAAATTCTGCACAGATTTCGTTCAGTTCTGATTTTTTTTCAAATTTTTAAGTACAGCCAACGAATATATGTCATTTTCTTGGACTAGTTTGTTTGTAAATTTATCTACTAAATTAAAACAGGTCGTGTACCATCTCTTGCCTTCGTGGCCATCAATTCCCAGATGGTTCAGCCATTGCAACCATGACGTGTAAAGAGGGATTCTGGGTACCAGATAGAGAAAAATGGACGTCTCTACCGGATTGCGAAGGTAAATATCGTACAACCCGCACTGTTTGTTAAATTTACAAGACTTTTTAGCAATCTGTGACCCGCCGTGTTTGAATGGCGGCAACTGTTTATCTGTTGGTCACTGTCAGTGTCCTCAAGATTTCAGAGGTCCTCAGTGTCAATACAGTACGTATTGTGGTTTGATTATGATGTGCTTGCATAACATGCCACATTAGAACCATTCCTTTTTATAAAGTGTACATTTTTCAGAAACTGATAACTGTGACGCTCGGAAACTTCTCTTCAACGGAGGTTACAACTGCACAGGTGACCCAATGGGTCTCAGTTGCTCCCTACGTTGCCCAGAAGGGATGGTTTTTGATAGCCCACCGGCGCCTCTATACACCTGTTTATACCAGGACGCCAAATTCAGCCCATTACCAATTCCTCAATGCATTTTCCGTAATAATTACTTGTTTTTTTAACTTCGAAGTATCAGTGTACTTTTAGCTGATCCGGAGCCAGCACCACCACACAATGTGCACCCAGGCAACTACTATGGTCCCCCATCTAACCAGACAAATTACGATACGAACACCTATTATGGTCCCCCATCTAACCATTCACCTCACAATATGAACACCTACTATGGTCCCCCGTCTAACCAATCACCTCACAATACGAAAACCTACTATGGTCCCCCATCTAACCACTCAAATTATGATATGAACAGCCTTACAGTCAATGGGTTTCCAGAAGTCTCGTACATACCTGCAGGACAACGATGGAACCACTACAACGTAAATTCTCACTTTCCGCAAATACGGACTCACCAACTTAGTATTCTAGGGTCACAACCTTCCTCCTGGTTATGATATCGATAACAGTAACGTAATAACAGTTAATCCCTACGGTGAATCTGGAAATTTCGTCGTTCAGGAAAAATTGCCAGAACCGGGAATGTGTATAACGTGGCAAGGGACACATTACAAGACTTTCGACGGAAAAGTCTTCAGTTTTGACTCCAAATGTGCTTACGTTCTCGTCAGGGATGCAGAGGACAACACATTTAGTGTTATTGTGGAAAACAACCCCCAATGTAGCGACGAACCTACCAGTTGTTCGAAGATCATTCGTGTCTATTTTGATAAAAAAGAATTCACTTTGAAACGTTCCAAAGAAGGAGTGCCTGTTTTTGCCACTCCCAAAAAGAGGCTGCCTATTCCTGCCCAGTTACCAGGTTTGAGGGTTGAAATGTCTGCCCACTACATCATCCTTTCGCTGGATACAGTAGGCGCGAAAATCAAGTGGGACGGTCAGGTATTAAATTTCTATCTCTTGTTTCTTGTTCTAATAGTTCTATAGCAATTAGTGCAAGTGGAAGTGCGAGAGAACCTCTGGAATCGCACCGCTGGGCTATGTGGTATCCTGGACGGCAACGATTCTAACGACATCTTGAATAAAAATGGGCGCATACCTCAAACTATTGAGAATTTTGCCACGAGTTGGAAAGTCGAGACTTTGGAAAGTGATTGTGACGATGTACCGTCAGAACAACACGCGTGTTTGGACGATGGAGTTGAAGGTTCCAGGAGTCACGAGGCTACAGTTTTCTGTAAAATCCTGCTTAACGACCAACGCTTCGCCCCTTGTCATCAAGTCATAGATATTACTCTTCTCATGGAAGCTTGCCGATGGGACTACTGTTCTTGCAAAAATCCAGATCCGTCGGTTTGTGCTTGCGAAACCTTGAACGTCTACGTACGAGCATGTTCATACAAAGGAGTCAAAAATTTAGCAACGTGGAGGGACGCCCAAACTTGTCGTAAGTAAACCAAAGGTAAGAAAACCTCAACCAAATGCTTTTGTAGCAATGCAGTGTACTGGTGGCAGAGTTTATAAAGCTTGTGGTTCCGTGAGTGGTCAACCCGTTTGTGGAACATCCACTCTGTACGAAGAAGAAGATCTAGAGAATTGCGTAGAAGGGTGTTATTGCCCGAAAGGAACAGTCTTGCATGAGGATCGTTGCATAACAACGGACAAGTGCCCATGTAGATTACGCGGGAAGAGTTTTCCACCGGGTGCCCAGGTTCCCAAAGAGTGTAACACTTGCACTTGTCTTGACGGCAAATGGGTGTGTACCCAAGTATCCTGTGGATCGAGATGTGCGGCAATTGGTGACCCTCACTACGTCACCTTTGATGGCAGAAGATACGATTTCATGGGACAGTGTTCCTACTATCTAGTCAAAACCCCGACGTTTTCCATAGAGGCGGAAAATGTAGCCTGTGCTGGTTCGATCTCAGAAGCCATGAATTTACCAAGCACGGTTGCTTCAGGACTGCCTTCTTGCACTAAAACCGTCACCGTGAGAATTTTCGGCCAAACCATCAAACTCAAGCAAAATCATGACGTCGTTGTGAACGGACAGGACGTTACAAAACTGCCCTACGAAATCAGTGGGGTCACAATCAGAAGCGTTTCGTCGATCTTCATTCAAGGTTTGTAATTTGTAGTACCTAATTGACTGTACTATTATTTTCTCCTTTCACACACTCTTTCTAACTACTTCATTTCAGTCGAGTTACCCAATGGAATGTTGGTGTGGTGGGATGGCGTCACTCGAGCCTACATAGACATCCCTGCCAAGTTCCAAGAGAAAACGAAGGGTCTATGCGGAACCTTCAACAACAACCAAAAGGACGATTTTCTCACTCCTGAAGACGATATCGAGCAATCTGTGATTCCTTTTGCCAACAAATGGAAGACTAGTGAAAAATGTAACGACGTACCCGATACGATCAGGGCACACCCTTGCAGCTCTAACATCCAGAACCAACCAACAGCTGAAAAGCACTGTCGCAAAATCAAGTCCCCACTTTTCTCGCTTTGTCACTGGATAGTAGACCCCGAGCCCTACTACCAAGACTGTCTTTACGACATGTGCTCTTGCGAATTCAAGGTGTCCAAGTGTCTGTGTCCTACAGTGGCGGCCTACGCGGAAGAATGTTCCCGTCAAGGGGTGAAAATCTCGTGGAGGGAAACCATAAGAGAGTGCGGAGTGCATTGTCCAAGTGGCCAGAAGTACCAAATCTGTGGCAACTCATGCACGAGAACGTGTTTCGATGTGGCCACAAGACCAGACTGTAAACCTCAGTGCGTCGAAGGGTGTAACTGCCCTGACGGAGAAGCTTTGAATGACGACGGAGAGTGTGTACCCATTGGTGAATGTAAATGTACGTATGACGGACTTCAGTTCCATCCAGGGTACAAAGAGGTACGACCTGCTAGCAAAGGTCCAGAGCTCTGCACTTGCATTAACGCTGCATGGAGTTGCCGACCAGCTACTCCTACTGAAGTTAAAGCTTTTCCTAAAGCTAGCGACCTGAAATCTCTTTGTAGTGCCTCAGCGAATATGGAATTCACAACGTGTGAACCTGCTGAGCCTGTAACTTGTAAGAACATGCATAATCCTGAGTACTTTTCGGCGTCGGTGTGCCATGCTGGGTGCAAATGTAAGGATGACTACGTCTTGGATACACAGACGAAGAGGTGCGTGAAGCCTTCTGAATGTCCGTGTCACCACGGGGGGAAAAGTTACAAAGAAAACTCAACCGTGCAGAACGACTGTAACACTTGGTAACTTTGGGAAAAGTTTTTGACTATAAAATAATCTTGTGGTTTCAGTAAATGTCAAAATGGAAAATGGACGTGTACGGATAGACCATGTTCTGCTGAATGTAGCGCTTGGGGGGATTCACATTTCAAGACTTTTGACGGTAAACACTACGACTTCCAAGGACAATGTGACTACGCGTTAGCTAAAGGTTCCCTAGGAACTGACTCTTTTGATATTTCAATTCAGGTGAGAGCACAAGTGGGTAAATTTTTTCTTCAACAATACATTCCAGAACGTTCCCTGCGGTAGCCTTGGCACCAGCTGCTCGAAATCGGTTACCGTTCGAGTCAAATCCGGAGAAGACCAAGACGTGTTAACTTTAACCAAAGAAAAAGTTCTCCCGGACTTCGCTTCCATGAAACACCTCATAGTACGACAAAAGAATCTTTTTGTAATAGTTGAAGCCCCGGATTTAGGTCTCGTTGTCCATTGGGACCGCGGCACTAGGGTTTACGTTAAAGTAGACCCTCGCTGGAAGGGTAAAGTGAAAGGACTTTGTGGAAACTACAACGATAATGACGCTGACGACTTCCAAACACCTTCAGGAGGTTTAACTGAAGCGTCGGCTTTGATCTTTGGAGATTCGTGGAAACTTCAGTCTTATTGTCCGGAAACTGTAGACGTCACGGTAAGTGTGAGTTGATATTTGTGGACCTTCGTTAATTTTCGATTCAGAGTACTTGCGACGAACGACCTGATCGAAAAGTATGGGCTTTGAAGAAATGTGGCATTCTTAAATCCTCAGTGTTTGCTCCTTGTCATTCCGAAGTCCCCGTTGATATCTACCTCGAGAAATGTATTTTTGACGCTTGTGCTTGTGACCAGGGTGGAGACTGTGAGTGTTTGTGTACCGCTTTGGCGGCGTATGCGCAAGAATGTAACACCAGAGGGGTTCCGATTAAGTGGAGATCACAGAAGCTCTGCCGTAAGTTAAGTAAACTTTCATTCTACTGTGCTAATGTTTATTTTTAGCGATGCAATGTGATGAACGCTGTTCCAATTACAGTCCATGCGTATCAACTTGTCCTACGGAAACGTGCGACAACTTGTTGGTAGGACAAAAGAGCAAAACTTGCAACGAAGATAGTTGTATAGAAGGATGTGTTCCTAAACCTTGTGCACCGGGTCAGATTTATCTCAATTCTTCTTTCTTAGAGTGTGTCCCCAGGAATATATGCAGGCCAGTCTGTTTGGAGATCAATGGTGTTACATACTACGAAGGTGATCTTATTGAAGGGGATGACTGCTACAGCTGTTATTGTTCACGTGGTGAAAAGATATGTAAAGGACAATCTTGTACTACGCAACATGTTACACCGGTGACTCTTGCACGAGAAGAACTGATCAAGTGTGAGACTGGATGGACGGAATGGATTAATCAGGATACAACAACATCAATTAAAAGCTCATCTGCAAAGAAAAAAAGTGACGTTGAACCTTTACCAACACCACTCCTTTTGGTATCCCAATCCCCATTTTCCTAAAACTGTATTAAATATCGTTGTTTCAGAATCACCTTAAAGGTGGTAAGTGCAACACCGATCAGATGAAGGATATTCAATGTAGAACGGTTAAGACACATCGAACGGCAAAGGATACCGGGTCAAATACGGAGTGTTCCCTCGAGCGAGGTCTCGTTTGTAACTCTACAAGTGGTTCGTTCTTCAAACGATGGTCAACAGCTTCCTGTGACGATTTTGAAATACGAGTCTACTGTCAATGCGGTACTAAAACAATAACAGTTACCATTATCAATCATCATAATACTGACAATTTTCAGAAGAGCCATCAACTACGATTGTACCAAGTGTTTGTGATCCCATCAAACCACATAAGGAGCATCCAACAGACTGTCATATTTACTATCAATGCGAAGAAGGTATAGACGGTCCCAAATTTGTTGAAAAGACCTGTGGTGAAACTATGTACTTCAATCCGGTCACTATGGTTTGCGATTGGCCATACGCCGTCGAAGAGATTAAGCCCGAGTGCAAAGCACCCACGACTACTCAAACCTCCACGACGCCAGTCGAAGTCGTACCAGAAGCAGAAATCTCTGGAACAGTAGAAAGACCGGTAATCCAACCAACTTCAATTGTAGCACCTGCAGGTAAGTCTGCAATGTCTTAAATCACGCCTCATTAATGTCCCCATAAGTATGTCCTGTTGGCGAGAAGAAACACGACTGCGCCATTCAGTGCGATCGCTTGTGTTTGTATTACTCTTACGTCGTCAAGTCCGAAGGCTTCTGCAAAAACAACGAAAAGTGTGCGTCTGGGTGTGTGAACCCCAAGAAGAGTTTATCCTGTCCGAATGGAATGTTCTGGGCTGGAAATCAAACGTGTGTTGCCTTAGCAGATTGCATGTGCAGAGCAACGGACGGTAAACCCGTGAAAGTAAATATTTTGTGCTTTTCTTGTGCCTTGATTTCATGTTTTTTTTTTCTAGCCGGGTACGGTTTATCGAGAGTCTGACTGTAAAGTTTGTCAGTGTGTTGATAATTTCTACACTTGCGACGAATCAGCGTGTATTGAATCAGAAGAAGTAGGACCAGAACCAGAAGAAATAGAAGAGGTAGCACCACAAGCCCGCACAAGGCGTCCTCCAAAACATCGGGGGAAACCAGGACTAGGATTCTGGGAAGGCGAACTTGCGCAAGGAGTAGGTGGTGGTGGTGGAGGAATGAAAGAAGAGCCAATACCTATTTCTAGTACGGTAACACCCCCAGAGAAATGTGACGAAGACCATTTCATTGACTTGATGCAAGGAGACCAAGCACTTCCTAATGTTGTTATTAACGCTAGCAGTACCTTAAGTGGCGCTTTTAAACCAGAAATGGCTAAATTTAACAGTAAAGTGGGTGAACAGAGTGGAGGAAGTTGGATTCCGCAGTACTCGAATAATCTCCAGTACTTGGAAATCGATTTAGGCCAGCAGGAACCCGTTTATGGAGTGAAGGTCAAAGGCAGTCCGATGTATGATGAGTACGTTACTAGTTACAAAGTGTCTTACAGTCCTGAAGGTACTACTTTCTATGCAGTACGCAACAAGGAACGATTACCCCAAGTATGATGAAAATTGTAAAAGAAAGTTTCAATATTGTTGTTTCTTTAGGTTTTTAGAGGGTCAGTCGATGCTAATACACCTGTGCAAGAGATATTCGAGACACCTTTTGAAGCACAAATCGTGAGAATTCATCCAGAGACGTGGCACGTGGGGATAGCTCTAAGAGTCGAATTAATAGGGTGCGGCGAAGCCCTCAGTACTACTCCTTACGAACTAACTACGGTGAGTACTTCCAAAGCGTGAAGCTCAACTGATTTGTACTTGTAGTTGCATCCCACGACTTCTCCCCCTCCACAATGCGACGATCCTATGGGTTTAGACGACAATTCAATGTCAGATCAACAAATATCAGTGAGTTCCGAACTAGACCGAAATCATGGTATACCGAACCTCAAACTGAGTGACGACAGTGCGTGGCAACCTTTAACGAACTCTCCCACTGAATTCATCCAGGTACAACTACCAACATATATTGTATCAAAATCGACTTTCTTCTTCTCTGTTATTAGTTTGATTTTATGGAACCGCGCAATATAACTGGTCTCGAAACTAAAGGTGGTCCAGACGGTTGGGTTACAGCTTTTACAGTAAAATACTCCCAAGACAGTAAAATTTGGAACCCCATTCTCGACAAAAAGACCAAAACAGAGAAAATTTTCTTGGGTAATTATGACTCTGACACCCCACAAACTACTAATTTCGAGCTCCCCATAAATACGAGATACGTCAAGGTGATACCAACGAAGTGGAATGAGAACATTCAGATGCGAGTGGAAGTGCATGGTTGCTTCGAACCATATCGTAAGACGATTAGTTCAAAAGTAACAGCTCTGTTAAGTTGAGTGTTTCAGCAACTCCGCTTGAGACATCCACACTGCCTACACCACCACCTGGCTGTAACTACTGTCCGGACGTTGTAACAGATTCTTTGGAATTAGAAGCCTGCAGGTGCAAGAAGGATAAATGGTGGGATGGCCAAAACTGTGTTGCAAGAACAGAGTGTCCTTGTCTCGTGGGCCACATTTCGTGAGTTTGTTAAGAGTGTTTAAAATTTTCCTTCAAACGAAGTATTGTAGATATCCTGTCGGTACTTCCTACAAGACTGAAGATTGCTCCGAATGCTTATGTAAAATTGGCGGTGTCTCACATTGCGCTCCCAAGGTATGCGATCCTTGCGAAAAGGGTTTACGAAGCACGGTGACTACCACGTGTCAGTGCACGTGTCAACCGTGCCCTGACGGTACCACTCTATGTCCCACGAGTGACGTTTGCATTAATTCAACTTTATGGTGCAACGGAATCCAAGACTGTCCAGATGACGAAACCGGTTGTGTAACCACCACCCCAAAAACAACAACCACAACACCCACACCTGTCACTGCGGAAAGTTAGTACTCGAATATTCATTCTTCCACTTCTTATTTTCTCGTTGCAGAAAAAGTGAAAAAATGCCCCGAAATTCAGTGCCCACCAGGTTTCCAAAAACAAGTCAAGAAACAAACGAAAGGTCAACGATATCAGACATCCTTGTTTTCGCATTACGGCAGCGGCTCTCGAAGAAAATCCTACTTAGCGTCCTCTCTGGGGATAAAGACTGGAGGAACTAAAACTTCGTACCAGAAAAAAACCTTCCAGAGGCCGGTGAAGACCGCTAATGAAACAGAAGTACAACCACTGAATTGTACGGAATATGTCTGCAAGTCCACCAAGCCGCCACCGCAGTATATTCACGTAAAGAACGAGTGTCCACCTATGAGCTGTCCTCCGGGCTACACTCCTGTTGTGGAAAAGGAGGACTATCTGTCAAACAAATGTCCTGAATATGTGTGTACTCCACCTCCTCCGTCTGACGCCGTTTGTAATGTCACAGGACGTACGTTCAACACGTTCGACGAAACGGAATATAAGTACGACATTTGCTACCATATTTTGGCGCGTGACTTGGAACACGAAGAGTGGGAAGTTGCCCGTAAGTACTTTATCTACTTCTATGAAAATAATGTGTTACTGTACTTATTTTAGTGAAAAAGGATTGCGCGGAAACTTGTTGGAACGATCTCATTATCCACCATCAAGGTGAAGAACTTGTGCTCCACCCGAATCTGACGGCCGAATATGACGGCTTTTCTTACACAGTCGAACAAACTAAGAAAATCGGGTCAAACGCAAAAGCTTTCTCTATTTCACGTTTAGGTAACGTTCTACTCTTCGTGTCGAACAGGTACGGATTTTGGATAATATGGGACCAAGAAGGGAATGTCAAACTAGGAGTAACGCGAAAGCTGGTGGGCCAAGTGGATGGACTTTGTGGTTACTTTAATGAGAATCCTGATGACGATAAGAGGAAACCAAATGGTGCTGTTGCTAGAACCACGGTCGACTTCGGGGATAGTTGGGCTTACTCTGACAAATCACATATTTGCGAACCACAAGTTTGTCCTCATGACGCGCAGAACAAGGCGTGGGATATCTGTCAGATCAAGTAAGAGTAAAACCCATTTGTGCCTCTTGTAACTTCGGTGTTTCAGACAACAAGTTCTCGAACCTTGTCACAAAGTTATTAACAGAGACGCTTTTATAACTCGATGCGTCGAAACAACCTGTGCTTGTCTTGAAGCAGCCGCTAAAAACGAGACAGCGCAGGAAGACTGTCGGTGCCGCACGATTGAAGATTTCGTCGTTGAGTGTCTAACCAGAGACCCGAGTATAGATATTTCGGAATGGAGGACGGTACTAGATTGTCGTACGTGTCTTTGAACTTCTCGACTCCACAGTTACTGATGAACATTTTTCAGCTGTTACCTGTGACGCACCGCTTGTTTACCACGATTGCTACCAGCGCAAGTGCGAACCAACATGCGAATCAGTCTCAGATCCCGACGCTGCATGTCCCAAATTGCCCAGCGTTTGTTTCCCTGGGTGCTACTGTCCTCCTGGAACCGTCAAAAAGGGCGATTCTTGCATCAGCCCTTCAAATTGCCGAGACTGTGAATGTAATGTCCTTCCTCATCTTCAATACGTTACTTACGACGACACCAACTTCACTGTCAACGCTAATTGCGTCTACGTAATGTCAAGAGATATTGCAGATAACACCGGTGCACACAAATTCCAAGTAATTCTAAGCACATTAATACAATTTTAAGTTTCGACATTTAATTTGAATAATAATAATCCTTTCAGGTTTTAATCACGAACGCCCCATGTAGAAACAACCAACAAAAAGTCTGCGTCGGCAAAGTCACTATTTTATATCAAGGCCGCAAAATCCACATCCTCAACGATGTATTCCAGAACAAACTAAAAATGATAGTCGATGGTGAAAGAATCGACGACTTATCAGAAGTCACATGGGCCAATGTTAGGGAAAGTCCGAGCAAACACATAAAGATAGCGTCAAAGTCTAGTCAAGTAGAAATTTCTGTGTATTTTCCGTCTCTAGGGGTCTCAATCAAAGCGGCTTCGCAAAAATATGGTGGTAAACTTGAAGGTCTGTGTGGGGATTGTGACAGTAACCCTTACGATGATATGCGATCACCTTCTGGAGAAGTCCTTTCGGATTCTAACGATTTTGCGTTAAGTTGGCTGTACACCAAAATACCGGATCAGACTAAGGAATTGTGCGCGAACAAACCAGAAGAGTGTCCTCCTCTTCCTAAAGAAACCGATCCGTGCAAAATCATTCTAGACTACAAAACGTTTGGGCAATGTCTTCGTGTCTTGGATCCGTCGATGTTCTTGGAATGGTGTAGGAAAGACACTTGTGGGAATCACCCAGAACTGGCTTGTGCGTCTATAGAATCATACGCGAGGGATTGCGCAAGCGCAGGATTTTGTATTGACTGGCGCACGAACATTTGCCCCCCTCAGCAGTGTCCAAGTGACAAGATTTACGACCCTTGTGGTCCGAAGTGTCCCAAGACTTGTCAAAGCATCAAAGAGAAAGAGAAAAGTTGCGTGGAAATCCCAGTGGAAGGATGCTTCTGTCCAGAAGGATTGGTACACAGTGGAGTATGTGGTGGTTATCGACTAACAGTGTGTTGCAGGTACTGCGAAATGACACTTGCGTCCTAGAAAAAGACTGTGAAGTGTGCGATGAAGAGGGTCACCATCCGGGAGACGTTTGGAAGAAAGATAAATGTACATACTGTACTTGTGAAGGTACTTCGTTGAAATGTGAGACGGAAAGGTGTTCGGGTAGTGACAAAATCTGCGAAGAGGGTTACCAAGTGGTGAAAATACCAGGCAAAGAAGATGAGTGTTGTGACAAATACGGTTGTGGTAAGTACATTACAAGTTGTAATGATTCCCCGACTAGTACTTTCTTTCAGTACTGGAACCTACATCAGGACCTGTTTGCGAAGAACCTCAAGCTATTAGTTGTAGCCGTGGTCAAGCTATGAAGTTATCCACAAAACCAAATGGTTGCCAACAATTTATCTGCGAATGTAAACCAGTTGATGAGTGCGAACCTCTCAGTACCACCTCAGAACCTTTGGAAGATGGCTACGTGCGAACGATTGACACCAGCGGTTGTTGTCCTGAAGCTAAGATAACCTGTGACAAGTCAATTTGTCCCAAACCGAAACAATGCCAACAGTATCACACTCTTAAAAACGAAACCACCGGAAAATGTTGTCCCTTATACACCTGCGAACCTCCGAAAAATAAGTGTATCTACGAAAACGAATACATGTCAGACGAAAACGGCGGAGAAAGACCTAGAACTGAAATCGAAAAACAGAAAGTACTCAAGAACGCTAACGAAACTTGGCAAGATGGTCCATGTCGTCAGTGTAAATGTGTGCGAACAAGTATAGGAAATTACCAACCGTCGTGTTCGCAGACTGATTGTTCTGCTCTTGAAATCTCACACGACTACCTCGACTACGAGCTAGTACCTGAATTCGTGTACGACCAATGTTGTCCCGTCGTGAAACGAGTAGCCTGCAAAGACAACGATAAAATCTACAAAGTTGGCGAAAAATGGACCAAGGAAAACGATGTCTGCACGATTTACGAATGTGTGAATATTACCACCGGTGTTCACAAAGAAACTCAAGTCACCACATGTGACACCAAGTGCGATTTAGGCTTCGAGTATATGGCCGCGGCACCAGAAACCAAAGAGTGTTGTGGTTCCTGCAAACCCTACGCTTGCGTGGTTGATGGAGTCGTCTACAAAGTGGGACACGAATGGACTTCGCCGGACTTCTGTATGAAGTATTTCTGCTTGAGCGTCAACGGATCGGTAACCAACCATACTAAATTAACACAACATTTAGATGTTTTAATTTGTAGATGCAAGTTCAATCAGTTAAAGTCAACTGCCCCGAACTTCCAAAAGACTATACCGACAATTTCGTCGTCGAGTCTACATCTACCGAAGGCGAATGTTGTAAGGAACACAAAACGGTGGCTTGCAAAGTTGGCAACAAAGTATACAAAGTGGGAGAAACGTGGCCATCTCCGGATGGAGATAAATGCAAGAATGTGACGTGTGTCCAAAACAAAGAAGAACTGACAAAGCAGGAGTCTGTCCAGACTTGTAAAAAAACCTGTTCGAAGGTACTATTATTGACAAGAACTTGCCATAGCACTGTACTTTTTTCCAGGGTTCAGAGTACAAAGAATCTAACGACACCTGCTGTGGTGAGTGTGTTCGCATTGCTTGTGTTGTTGACGACGAATTGAAGAAACCTGGTGAGAATTGGACTTCCCCTGATAATTGCACAACTTATACTTGCGAAAACTTTGGTGACGAATTCACCGTTATGAGTCAGCAGGAGTCGTGTCCTTCGTTGGAGGACTGTCCCCAGAAAAATATCTACGTCAAAGGATGCTGCAAACACTGTAATATTACGTCTGGTGCACAGAGTAAGTTATTAAGTCGTATTAACTGCATTCTACTTTTTCTTTGTTAGAAACTTGTGCGATTGAAGCCATCCCACTCAACGAGACTATAGAGTTAATCAAAGTAACTCCAGAAACGCATGGTGACTGTGTTAATAAGAAACCTATCGATGATTTTACGGAATGTGTAGGAATTTGCCAGTCGTCTACTACCTTCGACAAGAGTATGTTTTTTTTCTGTGGGAGACGAATTTTTGATTTTTTTTTACAGATAAGGGTTCCCACGCGAGTAAATGTTCTTGCTGTCAAGCTACTAAATTCGAGTATCGAGAAGTGGAGTTGGTTTGTGGTGATGGTTATACATTTAAGAAAAAAGTTACTGTGCCGTCTGTTTGTGGTTGTGAGGGTTGTGCCGCTTCTGGATTTACGAAAAATAGAAAAGCTTCGGGTGTTAAATCGTAATGATTCTCTTTTGAAATGATATATTTTTTATTTAATGTTTCTATGTTGGTATTTTATCTTAATAGAGCATTTTGAAGATTTTTTTTTTATTTACCAACACACAGTACATGAGAATTTTTTGTAACATAAATGGAGCAAAACTTTTGAACAGTTTCATAACATAGGCACTAATTGGCAGTATGAACACTAATTTTTCAATAATAAGAAATATACTCCTTTCCTTACAAAAGAGACAGCCAGCTAGGTGGTCTGATTCACGGCAGCCAAATCTGGTATTGTAGATAAACATTCACAAGAACAGTAACACTGACAGCAGGAAGTTCTTCATTTCACCACGCGATTTTGTGCGTTTAATCCAATCAAGTTAAAATCTCCTGAATTTTGACAGACAGGTACAGCACAGAATCACAGATGAAATAAATGTTCAAATTCAGACCGTAAGAGAATTTTAGGCAGTAAAAAAATAATAAAGTGGCAATTCGTCCGATGGACTCTATTACTATACCAGTGAGTATAGATTTAAATACATAGTTACTGACTATACTTCCTTAGCTTACGCTCAGGAAGTAAAAATGTACCAAATACAAAATACCCCCCGTTTCGCGTCCACGATGACATTAATTTAATCAGTTACTTTCTCTTACAATAGCTCCACAAGTTTAAATGCCACTAATGCACCACACTGAAACTGCTGGACAAATTACTTAGGTTTTAGATGTTTCTTGACATTGTAGAACTTTATAATATAATCGTCGTCTGTGTAACCGTTGAAACTTTTACGTCTTTGGGGAAAAACAGTACCAGAACACTAGTTTTTTTGTTCAATTTATTTTGTGCTCATAATACATTACACAATAAATAATAATACAGAAAAAATAAAGGAAAACGTTGATAAAATTTCAATATTAAAACAAAAAATCTTATGAAAAGTAAAAATAAGTAGTTGGTTAAGATTACAGTGTTGATACAAAAATACATGTAAAAAGACCATATTAAAAGCAGTATTATGCTAATTAATAAAAGTCGTAAGTATCATCAACAAATTTCATAGATAAAAATTCTATCAGGCGCATGTAGGTCTAAATAAACCGTTCCTTTTTTTCTGATCTCAAATTGAATGACGGTTCCACCTAAACCCGACATCACCCAATTACAAAAAGTTATAATTTAGCGCTTTCAGGCGCCAAATAAACGGTCGTCTCTGCAAGTTCATCTCGTCCCAAAAGCGCCTTATTATAAAATTTTACCGTTCAACTTTTAAATATATTTACAAAAAGTGCATTAGCAATCACGGCGACACACCTAAGCAATAAAAAGCAAAACTTAAAAATAAATACATACAAAAATTTTCGATTGACATGTATAAAGTCAACCATTTTCAACTTTTTTTTTCAGATAGTTATATAAATTAATAAATCTTACATATGGAAGTCTTTCTGTATATCCACACCACATAGAAACTCAATACTAAATTACCACAGCTCTATACATTCAGTATTAATATGGGCGTAAGTTATAAAATTTATTTTAAAGTAACAGTTAATTATATTAAATGTATATGCTAAATAGGTAATATATATTAGTATGAATCGTTCAGTCTGCAGCGTTAGTGTCAACAAGTAATTTATTATCAATGGGAGAGTTATCCTTCAGTAACTGCGTATCACTATCATTTACTGCATTATTTACTATGGTTATTTGTTCCGTTACTACAGTAGTTACGCCATTCTGAACGGGCTTTTCGATTTTGGTTATCTTAGTTGTTTTACTCCCAGTGCGTGTTATTTCTAGGGGTTTCTTTCCTACGGCACCTGGCCGCGTCGTAGTCGTGCTCGTTTTCGTTACAGTCGTTCGAGATGTTCCGGTAATCTGAAAAAAGACCAATTAACATATTTTTCTTTAATTGTGTGTCTTAAAAAATATCAAATGTAAAACAAAAATACTACCAGTGCTGTCATACAATAATCTGTGGTTGTTTCTGAGAAATCAATTTTCGGTCAGACGGTTTTATCATAATTATGATATTTTCATTTTAATTGTTTTCGTAATTCTTATTAGTCTCATTACGCACGTTATGTCGAACTTATTAGTCAGCAGACGGATATTTAACCTATTATTTACTCACAATCAGTTATTATTATTGGAGACTAATTAATGGGTCCGTTGCTAATATAATTACTGTCCTGTTATCAGATGACATGTACATGTATTTAAAAACTGTAGTAGCGACATTACACAAGAGAGATGTAGATAAGTGTTAATAAAACATTGAACCCTTAAAAAGTCTGAACTTCGTTAAGATTCGCTACGACGGTCGATACGCTACCCCCACTTTCGCACGAACCGGGCTGATTTCTGCACCAACTGTGTAGTCATCTGATGATATTGAAACCGTTGTAGTGATTACAATCATCAAACAGTTAAGAACCATCTCGAATTTACTTATCTAAATTAGAAATCAACCCACCTTGGATTCGGTTTTCCGTACGGTGCTAGTTGCAGTCTTCGTAGCAGCAACTCCACTAGTCCTCGTCGACGTCACAGTTCGCGACGCTGTCAATTTATTAGCACTATCTTTATTCTGTTTCTCGGTGTCAGTCGATGTTTTGGTCACCGTTCTCGTAGCCGGCACCCTGGGTTTCGTCGGAGCCGTAGCAGGACGTGGCTTCGGTGGAGAAGGAACTTTCGGCGAACTAATAGCAGCTTTTGTCGTCTACAATACAAAATACACATAATTTCCGTTCCAACTCATCACCGCTCACCCTACCTTGGTGGTTGTCGCCGCAGACGTCGTCTTGGTCACCGTACCAGTGGTAGTCCTACTCGCCAAAGTCGTAGGTCTAGGCTTGGGCGGAGCCGCGGTCGACGCCGGCTTGGCAGTCGCCGTCTTCACCGGAGCCGTAGTCGGCCTAGGAGCTGCAGCTTTCGTTGGAGTCGGTTTGCTCGCAGTCGTCGCCGGCTTGGCAGGCGACGCCTTCGTGGTAGAAGTCCTAGCCGCCAAACTAGATCTCACTGGTGCTTTCACGTCACCGTTCGCCAAAGGCTTCTTCTCCAAACTAGCCCTAGTCGACGTCACGGGTGCCTTGGGCTTCGGCGCTGGCTTCGCTGCGGCCGTCTTTGGTGCAGCGGTCGTTGTCTTCGCAGTTGTAGATGTAGGTTTTGCAGTCAAAGGTTTCGCTTTAGCGGGCGCCGGTTTCGGGGACGCCGCTGCTTTGGTCGTGGAAGTGGTCGTTTTGGCCGCTGGTTTTTTGGCAGCTGTTGGAGTTTTGGCTTTCGTGGTCTTCTTTTCGGCAGCCACTGCTGTGGCCGCAACTGCTGCTGCTGCTGCTGTCGCCGTCGCTGCAACCGCAGCCACCGGAACGGTTTCTGGTTCAACTTCTGGTTCCTTCACGGTTTCTTCCGGTAGTGAAGGAACTGAAGGTGTTTCTTCTTTCGCCGGAGAAAGTACGACGGGCTCGGCGAATTCGGGAGTTATAGTTTCAGTCTCAATTTCAGTCGGGAGAGGGTATACACATTTCATGAGGGGATGACCGAGGACTGTTGCATCCCCTGGGCTAAGCGGAGATTCTAAATCCGCGATCTGGGAGCGCTCCAAGAACGAGTTGACGTCCGTGGTGGCTACGGATTCAGTGTCCGTTATTGACTTGGGTGTGGAAAGTGGACACACTTCTGGTAGTTGATTGTCTCCTCTAATAGGTGACGATGATTCCACGTGCACCGTCGACAGCACCGCGTTGTTAATTTCTTGGGCGAAATTCAGTTGGATTTCTGGCTCAAGCGTCACCTGCTCTGGAACCGGTGAAATGATAGGAGACGAAACATCTTTAACCGAAGACGTAATGTCGTCAACAGGAGACTCTACAAGTTCTTTTCTTTCACTTTCTAGATTACTTGTTTCAACCAATTCAGGCGTCGGCACTCGTTCCGGTTCTTGAGACTTCGGAAAACTGCAAACGTCTTGGATTGGTTCAGGCGATGCAGCCGCCACCAAAGGCGACTTTCTAAATTGGCAAACATTCTCAACTGGTTCTGGAGACAAAATCTGTGTTTCAGCTGCTACGATTTCAGGTTCTGGAGACAACAAACACGTCTGTGGTTCTGGAGACAATGCCGTTTGTGGTTCAGGTGATAAAATTGGGTTCTCTTCAGGTTCTGGAAACAAAACTGCCTTCTCTTCTCGTTCGGGAGACAAAATTGGTTTTTCTTGTGGTTCCGGAAACACAACCGACTTTTCTTGAAGTTCTGGAAACAAAACTGCCTTCTCTTCTCGTTCGGGAGACAAAATTGGTTTTTCCTGTGGTTCTGGAGACAGAACCGTTCTTAATTCAGGTTCCGGGGACACAACTGATCCTTGTTCTGGTTCTGGAGACACAACTGGCTTGTCTTCTGGTTCTGAAGACACAACTGGCTTGTCCTCTGGTTCTGGAGACACAATTGGCTTGTCCTCTGGTTCTGGAGTCAAAACCGGTTTCTCTTCTAGTTCAGGAGTAATCAAAGCGGGTTCTTTATGTAGCTCCGGTGACAAAACCCGCTCTTGTTGTGGCTCTGGGGACAAAATCTGTTGTGGTTCAGGAGACACTGGGCGTTCCAGAGGTTCTGGAGAAAAGACAGGCGTTTCGGGTTTCGACAACACACACAGTTCTGGTTCTTGCAGTTCCGGAGACACCATTTCTGGAGCAGGCGAACTGCCTTGAGGTTCCGGAGACAGCGTTTGTGGAATTGGTGATAAAGCAGGTTCAGGACTCAAAGCCTGAGCAGGAGAAATCACTTGAGGCTCTGGAGTGTCAATTTTCAAGTCATCCATTACTGGAGATTTCGATTCCGGCCGGAGACAAACATCTGGAAGAGTTTCCTGCGTTGCAACACCCTCCAATTTAGAAACCCACTCGTCTAGTTGTGGTTGTGGTGACTTAGCTAGTTCACAAACACCGCTCGATTCATCATCGTTGGATACAGGAGAAGCCAGCTCTTTTTCGTCATCAACTTTATCTAAATCGGTGGTCTGGATTCTTTCGTCATTATTCAAAATGATCTCATCTGATAACAAATCCTTAACCGGATCTTGCGAAACGACATCCCCGTGAGGTGCATTCTTTTCCTCAGGCTTGCTCAAGAAATCGTCGATGTTCTCCGGCAACATCTGCACTTTGTTCAAATCAAAGGGATCAGCATCGCCCTGCTCCTGATAGAACGACATAGACATAGGATCGTCCTCCTTTTTCGCAAAATCCGTGCTATCCGCGTCCAGCGTCGAATCCAGATTCACCAACGACTCGTCCCCGTAGACCGCTTTAGTCGACAACGCCGCCTCCGACTGGTCCAGCAATTTCGCAGGCGTGAAAGGGGCGGCATTCGGTCCGAAATGGAAGTCTTCCGACGATGCCACCTTCGATGGTGTGTTCCCTGGTTGAAACTCCGGTATTTCGTCTATGTTCTTTCCGTTGAGGAGATTCTCCATCAGTTCTTGCGTCGACGGTTTCTGGTCCTGCAACAAAACACACAATTACGGCTTCGAGAAACTGACGCCGACTGTTGACTTTTAACATCAGTATCTAATCTGCGGAGTTTAATGGCGTCGTAAAAGCAAAATAAAGGATGATAATGTTCGAAAACACTTACACCTTCATGGTCGTGACCGTTGCTGAACGAATCGACGTCGCTTGGTCGCGATTTCACCTCTTTCTCGAAGTCCTGGGGGTTCGGCAAACTGATGTCTATTTCGCTTGGTCTTTTTGGGGACTGGGCTATCACTGGGTCGTGCACCAATCGACATGCTGGCGAAGGAATGCTTCTCGTCGGCGAAACGGGCACGAATTCGGCCGCGTTCGGATTTAGCTGGGACATGTTTTCTTGGTCTTCGAGGAGATCCGCAACCTGGATAAAGAATAGTCAGGATAATGAGGCTATTAACAAAATTGTCTCGGTATAGGGAGCGTTTTCGATTACTTTTAACTTTTATAACGACAACGCGTGTGATATATAAAGTGGAAACAGTTTTTAATAAATATTGACTTTGCAATAAATCAATTTCACACAGAACTTCAACAGATTAAACAGTCATGAAGTTAAAGTCAGTATTCACAACGGAACTGTTTCCATCTCGAATTAACACTATAAAATATCATATATAATCGAAAATCGGTAGATATTATTTACTGAACGCACTAAATGACACCATATGCGACGACTTATAATTTTGATTAAATCGACCATGTTTTACAAATGATTTGATTCAAACAAAAAAATATGATAAATTTATTGACAAATAAGGTTATATTGTCAATAAATTAAAATACATCACAGATGTCAAAGGACGTAACTGTCATCTATCTTTGTGACAGAAGAGTATTAAGTTTTGTTGTAGGTTAAGCTCCCGACCGCAAATAAATAAACTAAAATGAACCAAGTACAAATAATAAATATTTAAATAATTTTCTTTTGGTAGCATTATCACGTGAATATTGTCTGACAGGACCGAATACTCGTAAATTAATGTCACTTATTAATGTTAAATAAATATTAAATAACAAATACAAACACGCTATTTCACCTAGTGGTGATAAATTATAGAATGTTTCGATTCGACAAAATTTACTAACTATAAAACTGGGGCTTCGACTACTTAGAACCGTGGTAAAAGCATGGGGAAGTTTTAGCCTACAAGACATAATATGCGATGCCAGTTGCATATTTAATTAAATACTTTAAAAACGTGAATTTGTTAACAACAAAAACTGGTTATAAGAATTTAGTGTGAATATTTGTTGCACCGAATTAATTAAAAACTCTAGAAAGTTTAATCAACACAAAACTAGATGTAAAATATACAAACATTCTAGAAGCAACGGATTGTTTGGGTTAGGCGTGACTGCAATTCACGATGAAGAATGGTTTAGTGTGATTCAAAACGATTCTGAGCGGAGAACTTGAAAGTAAAAGTTAATAGATAACAAAGTTTCACTGCACGCTGTTAAAATACAAGTCTGAAACTGCAAAATATGACAAAAATTATTCTACACAACTTATTTCGCCAGAAATTCGTTATTTTATCTACAAATTTAACGTTTTTGAATATTTGAAATTCCCTATATTAAAAAAGATATGTTAAAATTTTAGTTCTTTTAAATACCAACTTTAATCTAGAATACAAATATCCTAATTTAACTTCTCGTGATATTTAAGTGTAAGTATGTACACATAAAGTTTAACAATGTAAAAATGTCAGAAATGTGTTCTATCAAAAATCAATGCAAGAAACTTTGTAACTTAAACGGCACATTTTGTTTAGTGGTAAACGGTATTTTTAAAAAATTCATTTAAATTTCAAATTTCCAGGATTAATAATATCTACTGAGACACAAGAGAAGTTTTTCGGGCGATTTTGATATTTTACGACCCCTATAAATTTAATCAAAACTGCAGCACTTATTGCCGTTAACTACCCACATTCATGGTTTTTATTTCAAAATTTATACAATTTACAATTTTAAAACTCATAAAAATTGAAGTTATTTCGACAGAACTTCCCCCACCCCTGAAGTACAGTTCTGCTTCTTTGAAAAATTATAATAAACGAAAAAAAATTGATTAACAATTTACCAGATTACGATAACCTTAAACGTTATGAAGATTTCGGAGCATTCGGTTTTCCAGTCTTAAAGTTAAATTGCAAAATGTTGATTTTTTTCCAAAAATCTGGATGTCACGGTAAAAACTCAACGCGCCTTTATAAACCACATGTGCTTGAGTATCGTATTTTGTAAAATTTAAATATTTACTAATGTAAATTTTGATGACGACATACTAATCACTGCGCCATACGATGTTGATGTGTAGTTTTGGTTTATACTGATATAAACTGTTATTATTCAATTTGGATGCCTAGAGCGAACAGTTCAAGCGGATTCATAAATTACAAGTAGAGGAGTAGAGAATTTAAATAGCATTCACCATGCAAAATTTTAAGGTGACGGCATCAAATTTTTGGTGCAGATGATTAGACAAAAATTTAAAAATGTGGATTTAAAAAAAAAGTCTCGGCATTTTCTCTATCTGTATTAACGAATACAAATTTGTAAAAAATGTTTTGTAATACTTTGTTTAACGATAAATGTTTTTGTAATTCATCTATATTTGAAATTTATTATATTCTATTAATCCATCTATAGAAATATACTAGTATTTCTGGGGTCATGCGTATATCGTGTGCGCACATTAGTTTTGTTGTTTTCCAATAAACCGTATCTGCAATTACAATTAATGAATTGAAAATTTATTGCTATGAGAATCTAATTTTGACATTTTATGACCCTTATATATTCAATAGAAACCGCAGCGAATATTGTCGTAAAGTGATCAATGTTAATAATTAGAATAAGAATATTCATGATCTTATAAATTATGCAAATAAAAAATCAACAAGACTGGAATATTAATTGAAAATAAATTACTTTGTGTAAGCAAAAAAAATAACTGTGTATGCACAAAACGTGCGAAAATTGTGACCAGTTTGTAAGGCGTTATTTATAATATTATGCCTAAAAATTTAAACACATTAAAAAAGTAGTTACTGTGTAATACAAATACAATATTAATTACTCCTACTTAATTTTAATTTGTCAACATAGTGCTGACAGTTTTTATTATCCAGAAGGCATGGTAAAAGGTCTATAGGGCGAATTTCGTGGTAACCAGCAAGGTCAATTCGTCAAGTCTTTGTGTTTGGCCGTTCGAAATAAGCACAACAATACCGCCAAAGAACTCAGATGGCATCTGGCATTGTTCTGAGAATAGCCGGCCGCACGTGCCATATGTTAAACCGCATACCGTGGAATGCCCTTTTAACAGTTTTTTAACTAGGGATGCATCTAAATTATAAATGTGTGTCAGGATGTGCTGAAATTCCGCAAAATTAATGGACGCTTTTGAAAACGCCACTTAAATTAGCTCCATTTGTTTTAAACGGTTTTGTGTAAAAATTGTACTTTAACCAGAATGCCGCTTAAATGTGTGTCAGGATGTGCTGAAATTCCACAAGACTACTAATGCATGTTTTTCACTCAAATCAGCTCCATCTGTGTTCAAAATGGCTCTTTAACGTGAGACACCATAAGGTCTACAGTGGATGGTCACCTTGGCACAGGTCATTTAGGAGGTGCGAACCATCCCAGCTCGCCTAAACGGTGCTCTGACATTTTTACGACCAAGCCGACATCATAATTAAAAAATATATATACCTCACAGTCCGGCTGCGTCGGACTGATATTTTCTTTATTGGCTTCCTCTCCCTTGATGTAGTTCCACTCGTCTTCGGATTCTTCGCCGCTGTCGCCGATATTTTCCTCTAACCCACCATCATGAACTGCAAGAAAAGAGGTAATCAGTAAAAACGATCTTAGAAACGGTTGAAAGTAAGCGATGCGCTAGTTTTCCGAACCAGATTATTTATACGGAAAAAATCTCAGTACATAGTAATTATCACGTGAGAATGCACCAAGCGATAATCTAATACCGCTTAATACTAGCCGGATAAAATTCGTTCTCATGTACACACTACAGTGGAGATTTTGCATACGATTTCCGCTGTTAGGCGAAACCTTGCGCCAACGTCCTCATTATCCTTCTGCTCTCTTCATATAAGTCGCGACGAACCGACCATCACCCACGTGGTTGGCGTGAACATGGGACTCGCTTATGGAAGTCTTTGGCCACACCCTGGGGCAAAATGATGGCCATTCAGGGCAGGACTGTCGCTATGGGCACATCGATCGCGCCGGCTGCAACTGTGTCGTTGCCAGATGCAAGATAGAAGATAGTTCGCAATGGTAATGGCAATTGTTAGGTCATGGGCAGTGCCAGAAGCTGGGGAAATTAATGTAATGGAATTTACTAGTCGTTGTATTTGCTCGGGGAATTGGCTCGACCCCGGGCAGCCAGCAGGAACATCTGCGATATGTTTTAGTTTGCCAACTAATGGAATTTTAAATTATGGTAAAGTGCGAACTCGTTTAGCGTTATGAGGCATTGTAATTGACTGTCAGGTGGGAAGAGTAAGTGCAATTAGGTGAATGGCAGATTACTGATAAAATACAGTACTCTGAGAAACCATCTCTGTATATTACAGTAAATAAATAAGGGACTTTGTATTTTGTGACTTGAATAACCTAATTCGCCACGAAATATCAATTTATTCCTGTAATATTTACATAATCGCAGCTGAAGCTTCCGACTTCTTTAGGCGCTTCGGATGTGGAAGCGATGTGACAAGCGTAACACTACACCTTTAGATTTCTACGACTTTCTGAGTTTCTGCGGTGCATCAATTTTTACTTTTAAAAAAGCTTTTGGTTGTGGTGTCATTATTTTCGATTTTCGACCACCAAAATAGTCAATTTCAGGATAAACTATTATACCCTCTCAGTACATGAGTTGTTATTTTGCAAATTTCGTGCTTCAAGAAACATCTACGTAATGTCGCATCAGCTTTGTATTACAGTATCAATAAAGTTACACAAGTTCTCTCTCTCTATCATATTTATTACCTCAATAATTCAAAATAACATATCATGTATGTATGCAATTTGAATATGAAACTAATGAATTTGTATGCATGTAAACAGTGCGGTTTTAAAGTCCGACAAAACAAATAAAACGAATACATATATTCATTGAATACTTAAAAAATACATTATCTTAATCAACGTTCAATATAAACCCCTTGATAGCCTGCAGTAAAACGTGTTATCATCTTTATTTTGACTGAAAGTGTTAAAGAAACTCATTTTGAAGATAATAAATAAGATAATCTAATTTTCTAATTAACATAATGGTTTTTCTTTTTGTTTGATGAAATAGAATAATTTATATAATGCACATATTTTTAATTTTGGTGAAATTTTTCATCACAAAGTTTTAAAAATGTATACCTCAATTATTTATGGAAATTTCAAAAAGCAGTTTCCACCACTGTTTTCAACTTAGAAAGCTATAAGTAATAGGGGAAAAATGTTCGACTTCTTTTGTTGAAATATATTAAAAGCAGCTTTTTCAATACAAACTTCCTTTTACTGTATTTTATTTTCGACAACAAAAAAATCTGCAACTTTCATTGTTGTTTGTAGAGTTTTATAAGTTGAAAACAGTTGTGAAAACCGGGTTTCGAAATTTCTATAAACAATGGAGATATTAATTTGAAAGTAGACGATGATAAAACTGTTCTTAAAAAAGTGCTCTTGCGTTATATAAAGTTGTGGGTATACTCAGGATCACGAAGCAATGCGTACACGTCATGGATGACGTAGATCCGTTACCAACACTAAATCAAAAATACGCGCCGCAATACATGGCAATACGGATCAAAATCGATCAATTTGGGGGAAATTATATTGGTACGACTGATAGCGAAACATATGCTAAAGTTTTATCGATTTCACAAGTGTCATTGGTGTCAACTTTGGTTATGTTGTGTTATTGTTTGATTTTTCGCGTTTTTCTACTTTTCTGCTCATGTAATCGTATCAGTTCTTTTCAGAACTATAACAGTTCTTTTTAGAACTCCAAGTTAACTGTCCTGTACCGTGGTACGTGTCGCTTGCTTGAACGTAAACATTCCACCATGCCGAAGCCCTTGCACGAAGATGTAAAGCAAATGGACGATAATTTAGTGGACTATTTTGCTAAAGAACGCGATAGCGGGGGACCTCTTTTACCACTAACAGCTGTTCAAGACGTAAGTAGGTGTATTTTATTACAATTAGTAATGCAGTCACATTGTACAGAGGGTTGCTGCTGCTCTGGGTGTATGTGTGCGAACAGTGAACTCCGTGGTACAACAAATAAAAACCGGAGAAGGTGTACATTCTCCCAAGAAATAGAGACCCCCGAACACAGCAAGTTTGTGATATTAGAACTTTGGAGCAGTGTGCTATTCGAGAATGCTTATATGGAATGGTCGAAAAAAGTATGAATTTGATGCGCACGCCTTATACATAGATACTAACGATTATTTTACAAAAATACATGTTACACGATCGCCATTAATTGATTGCTTGAAGTAGAAACATATATTTGAGGGTTCTGTAAGCTCGTTAGGAAAAATTTTACCTTCTCTATTGGGTTTCGTTATTCGCCAACCAGTGTACGGAAGCGTCTTATGGAATTACAAAATGTTGTTCATGCAAGAACCAAATTCTTACGTGAATACATGCACAATCAGCAGAACCCAAATCCTTTGCCATGTGTATATCTTGATGAAACATGGATATTTGAAAATGGTTCGGTAGTTAGGTCATTGCAAGTCGATGGTGTCAAAAGTATCAGGATGTTCAAAATAGAAGGGAAAATTTAGTAATGTGTCAGTTTCACGTTAGTTATTTATTCTTCTCACTATATTTTAGGTATATTGTATTACATGCAGGTACAAGCAATGGATTTATTGATGAAGCAGCGCTAATATTTTCTTCTAATACCAAAAATCCAGACTATCATGGTCGAAATGAATCAACAGAATTTTCTCAAGTGGTTTCAATTGCTCATGAATCTTGAAGAACCATCACTGATTATTATAGACAATGCAAGCTACCACAGTACCCTTGCAATCAAATGTCCAGTGGTTCATGGAAAAAAGCAGAAATTCGTGAATGCCTTTAACAACATGACATAAGTTCAGATTCACAGCTGTTAAAAACGGAACTTCTTCATTTGGTTGCACAGTAATGCATATACCATTCTCTATCGTTTCATTTAAAATATCATATTTTTCAGAAATAAACCTCCAAAAACGTATGTTGCCGTGAATTGGGCCAACAGAATGGCCATAGAGTATTGCGATTGCCGCCATATCATTGTGTGTTTAACCCTATAGAAAATATTTGGGGAATTACTACAAATTTTTATTCCAAACACATTGGGCGTGATGGTTATGGTCAAAAAATTCCGTGGAAATGTGGAAAAAAGCGTTAGCACATGTCACGCCCACAATGTGGAAAAATACTGTTGACCATATGAATAAAATAATACGGGAGTGGTGGGAACGGGAATTAGTATTTGACCGTGAAGAGATTGCGCCGTTTATAATCGACATTAATGAAGATTCAGATTATAGTTTTAGTGATTATGACAGTGAAGATTCTAATACTGCAGATGGCATTCAGCCACTGTAACATGTATGTTATTTTCCATTACCATCCTAATTGATTGTACTGGCGGCATGTTCTGCTGATGTCTTTTATAATCACACTATCACTTCACTGGCCAAATATACAAATCACTGGTCAGACGACGACGTTGTGCAACATGCATACTTATTATTGTTTATACTTTACTTTTGTATCTATTCCATGTCAATAAAGTAACTTATTCTGTAGATGTGACGTGCCTATTGTGGCATTGAAGACGGTAAGCATATTTCTCTAACTTGAAGCCTGTCACAACTGTTCAATGCTGTCTGTTTCAGACGTATTTTAACATTCTCGTTGGTAGCTTTAAGTACAGTATGAAGCCTTGTACCACCCTCCAAGTATGTGTTTAACACCCAATTGTCAACAGTTTTTACCAGCAGTCAATGCAAAAATGAACGTTCTTAAAGCCAGTCATTCACGTTCCAACGCCGGGGTACGATTGTATTGGATACAACTGCTGTATAATTCTGCTGACAAGCAGCAGTACACACACGTTACGACCTTGCAGTTAAAAATTTGCAATCGTGGTGGCAACATATCCGAAGAAAATGGACTTTTATACCTGCTTTCACGGTTTGTATAACGTACACTGTCCACACGATCAAATTTACATCGAATACAACACGATTGTACTGCTGCAAACAGACTTGTTCACCAACCGTCCACATCCAACCGATTTGCTTGTCGCATACACATACGTTCAAAAACACTTCAATTTCGTCATACCCTACACAATTGTACCGCGGCGTTGGAACGTGAGTGGCAGGCTTCAGTGACTAGGAATACGTGAAAGAGGTTACAGTCATGATCTTTCCTGTGCCTGAGTTTGTAATTCATAGCGTCTATGCAGCCTGCAGCATGCCCTTGTGTGCTGAAACACTGCAAGTGTAGCTTATTTCTTAACTGTTGCTTCACACTAACGGTCTTCTCATGCTATAATCATAAATAGAACAAACCAAAACAGTAACAAGCCGACATGTTTGTTGACAGTTTTCAAACCGATTCATTTGTATGATAAACGTGGTAGACGCATGACGTCATACAGAGTCCGTGACGTGTACGCATTGCTTCGTGATCCTGACTATAGCTGATATTTAAAATTTTATGTCAACAGTAACGGAGATATTACATTTTGAAAATGCATTGTAAACCCCATATTGGCAAAGGTGTAGCGATTATAAAA